AGTTCAAAACCACAAATAGAAGCAAAGCTCTCCACCCCCAACCCCCCAAACAGAAATTCTTATTTTAGTGCTATTATTATCCACTAGAGGGTGCTCATTCAATCATTTTAAAAGTCTGGTTTAGAAATGAATAAATCAATTCTTGGAAATGCACCAAAGTATGTTTTTGAGCCATTGTATTTTTATTCTTCAGAGAGTCTAATGAAGAGCTGATGGCCCCCTACTCAATTCTGGCAATGTTTCTTCCTTGTCTCTCACAGAAGGGCCATTTATGTCTACAATACCTTTGTTGTCTACAATACCTCAGATAGGAAGTCGTGAGTGAAGATTTGTTTCTGCTGGAAACATCAAAAGACTAAAAATATTGAACATATGGAGGAGTTGCTCATATTATGAAATCTGTGCACACACTTCCAAGGCTGTGACTCCAGACCCTTCCCAGCACCACAGATGGTAGAGGAAAAGGCATGGTCTTTTAAGGCACAGGCCTGGATTTCCACAACTGTAAGATACCTAGCAATTGTTCTAACCTCTAACTTCGAAAGGGGCTAAAAGTTACTACTTCATGGGTATTGCACAGATTAAGGTTGAAAACGTGTGTAAAGACAATATATGGGACAAAATAGGAATCTAGATACTAGTTCATTTCTCTCTTCCCTAACCACCCCCTCTTTATTCCCTTCACAGATTATGATGATACTATCTGGTTATATAATGTTTTCTCCTCTCTGTATGTAAACTCTGGGTCAGTGAGGAGAATATTCAAATTAAATTTAAAAAAAAAAAGTGTTACAGATAGGCCAGACATAAATGTTTAATATTTGTTTTGCTTTCTATACAGTGAATGCAAAATTTCCAAAGTTCACAGATTTCCAGTTAATTTACTTCTCCCGCATATATTTGAAGTCTGGATACATATAGTCCACCTTTGCATCCTCAGTGCTTAGTAGAATACCTGGTACATAAACACTGCCTAAAATGTGAAAAAGTAGAAGACTTGCCCAAGTCTTAAGGTGCTGGTTTTTTAAGATCCTCCCTTGTCACGAAAGAGAAAAAGAAAGTTAGTAAATTATGACAATACCACCTTAAAAGAATTATAACAGCTGTATTAACAAAATACAGTAGAAACACAAAGGACAGAACTAATTTTGCCAAAGGGCATATAAGAAGGTCTGATGAAGAAAAAGTGGTTAATAATAGTAACAAACATAATGCTAACACATATCAAGGGCTTACTATATGTCAAACAATATTCTAAGCACTATTTATATATACATAAGTATACATATAAATTTATTTTATCTTCTTAAGTGATTATAAAAGAGATACTATTTTTTCCCATTTAACAGATAAGGACAAAGAGACACAGAGATGTTCAGTAACTTATCTGGGTCATGTGCTACAAGATGCACAAGATGTGGGACTGGAAAATACACTCTTAATCACTATACAGAGGGAGAATGGAAAAGGGCATTCCTGGTAGAAAGCATATCCAGTCCTAAAGGCATGAAGGAGCCTCCATAGTTGTCATAAGTTTTTAGTTCAAAAGTCATACTACAGATTGCAGGGGAGAAAAAGAGTTTTGTACTCAAGGAGTGATCCAATGGAATATGGCAGCAATGAGAAGCAGCATGACAGCATGGGGAAGACAAATTCCCACAGCTTTTCTAAGTGTCATCTGTGCATCCTTGGGCAAGTTCCTTAATCTGTGTCTCAGCTTTCCTATCTGTAAATGGAAATAATAACTACCTCAGAGGGTTGTACCAAGGACTGTTATTATTTACAATATTAGAACATTGCCTGGCACATAGTGCCGGAAAACTGGTTGCCAAAATAAGCAAACAGATAAATACTAAATGTGAGAGACCAAGGCTGTTGCAATATGCCAGATAATAGATGATGAAGGGCTAACTAAATAGCAACAGTAGAGATAAAAAAAGCGATCCAAACTAAAAATTGCTCAGGTTTCTACATTTGGTGGAGGCAGGATAGTGGTGTGTGGTAGCACACAGGGAGTCCCCAAGATAACTTTTACTTCTCACACCAATTACAAGTTCAGAGGTCTCCAAGACCATGCTCAAGTTTGATTTTTCACGAAGACACGCAGAACTCACTGAAAGCTATTATATTTACAGTTATAGTCATGGTTTATTAGAGTAAAAGCATATAGACTTAAATCAGCCATGGATAGAGACTCATGATGCTGAGTCCACAAAAATTCAAAGCATGAAGATTCTAGTTGTCCTCTCTAGTAGAATAATGGACAAGGCTAACTTTTCCAGGCAATGATGTATGACAGAATGCACAGCAATACCGCTAACCAGGGATACTCATTAACGTCTTGGTGCTCAGTTTTTACTGAGGCTTGGTCACATAGACATGATTGCCTAAACAAGCTGACTTTCAGTCTCCAGTCTCTCTGGAAGTTGAGCTGATTATCTGTGGCCCACAGCCCGCACCATAAATCACATTGTTAGATTATCACCTGTGTCCCAAGACCCCAGATAAAGATACTCTTATCAGGAAGGACACTACAAGGGCTCAGAGATGAGGGCAAATGCTAGACCTATGTTTGAGTAAGGTTTGTTCTTTACTCTAAAGGTAGTGAAGGTGGTAGAGGAGAAAGGAGGAAACCATATTGATAGTAATATCTTCAATTGAGATAAAATATGCAAGTAGCAAAGGCAACATAGGTTTGGAAGGGAAAAATAATATTAATAATTTATGTCTGTCTGAGCACACTAAATAGAAAAATAATTTGTTATAGAGTATGAGTAGCCAGATTACTATAATGTATGGAAAAAATATCTCTTGAAATATATATAAATATTTTTTCTAAATCACATCCCAGGCATGAGAGGCAATACAGAAGAAGAGTTAGCTGTGGAAGTTCTAGAGTCAGAGAACCTAGGCACAAGTTCCAGGTCTGCTACTTACTAGCTGAGTGAACTTGGGCAAGTTACTTTAACTCTGTGCTGTATCAGGTGAAAAACAGGAAACAAACTTCACAGGTTTGTTCTAAGGATCATGCAAGTTAGTACTGCCTGGCACATAAGCATGAGATGAGTGTTTTAATTATTTGTATATTCTATTTGAGTACCTTTGCCTATTGAAAGTCTCATACATTTATTACATATTTTATTATTCAGTCATTCTTCATTGTGATAAAATATATTCATTCTAAAATATGGTTTTGAAATAAAAACTACAACTATAAACTGTTTCCATATTACAGTATTTATGAGTTTCTAAAACAGCTTAGCTGTCCTAAAATTATCTTGGAACTGTTAGGTTTTAGTCTGAAACTGTCGGTTCTTGGCACCTTCATGGCCGAAGAATAACCAGACATGCCAAAGTTAGGCAAACATGAAAATGAGGTTTATTGAGGAGAAAAAGATAGGATTATAGGGCAAAAAGCATGACATAGGTTTACAGAGCATGATGCATAAGTCACAGATGACAGCCAGATCCACTGTCACAGCAGGATAAGCAAAAGGATATGTAAAGAGAGAGGCTGGCTATGGTCTGGGTCCTATTTTATAGTGTCCAGATAGGGACCTCCCTTGTGGTTCAGAGGTCACCATGGAACCACTTTGATTAGAAAGTTGGGAGCCACATGACCTGAGCCTTAATTATGCATGTGGGTTCTAGGTCACTTTCCAGACTTTATGGTACCCATGTGGCTTAACCCCTAGGCTAGAGTCCTCTGCATTCTTTTGCAGCTGGCATGCCAAGTTCTCATTAGCAGATTTGTAGGGTATTTCCTCCTCCCCCAGATATGGAGAATTAGGGTGGTGCAGGACCAAGATAGGGGCAACAGCACCCACTTTTGTCCCTAGGAGACCCAGAATCCCTCACTACCTAACAGAACCATCTCAGACTTTATGATTTTTATTAGCCAAGACTTAATCTCTTTATTTTAAAAAATGCTTAAAGCTGTCCTTTATAAAGAAGAAATTTTTATTGAGTTGATCCAAGAAGAGAATAAGAAAACCATATGAAAAACTGTCATCTGGACCAAGTCCCAGATATTACCTATAGCTATGTAACTACTGTTCCCCTGAGCACAATGTATAGGGCTTTTGCCCTTAACTTCATGAGCAATGCACCCACTTTCCTCAACCTAGAACAATGGGTTCCTTTTGCAAAGCAACTCCCTACAAGTCACCAAGACCTGGTTTCTCCTCAGGCCTTTGCTGGCACCTCAGGCTTTGTTAAATAAGCCAAGGCCTACTTCTATTATTAAATATAATAAATACTTACAAATTAGCAATTTACATCCCTGTAACCACACCCTTCCATTCTCCCCCCAAGACTGCATGAAAAATGGACATGGGGACTATCTTGCTCTTTGTATTCCAGGAGACATTATATACTGTGTCAGGCACTAAGTGTCAAGAACCCATACAGCAACATTCTGACCAACAGCAAAATTCATCAAATATATAAAACAAATTTCCCACTTCCATGCATTAAATGTTTGTTTTTATAATACATTTAAAGAACTTATGCGTGTACATATGTGTGTATGTGTTCAAAATACAGCCAGCCATAGACAGAGAGGAAATATGTTTAGCAAATAAAGTATGACTTTAGCTAAAATAAAGGAGTGCTGGCTTTAAAGATTTTTTGTATTATCATGTAAATTTCAGAAACTAGTCAAATATCTCAAAAGTTTAAAGATTTTTCTGTTACAGTATAATTCATTCTGTCAAACTGCTGGGAATTCCTGTTTCAAGGATGAAAGCAATTATTCAAGGCAAGGGAATAAATATTTTTGCTATCATTACAAAGTTATCTTTCTTCCCTTTTCCTCATTCTATGATTCAATATATTTAACTATTTCTTAGTTATTCCTTCCTATAGCCTCAGTAGGAAAGAGCAACCGGATTTAGATTCCTTTACTGTTTATTTTCTGGGCCTCTCTCCCCAAAAGGTTTTAGTATAAACTTTACTTTCTCTGTACTATCATAAAGCTTTAAAAGATGAATTATACTAACCTTACTGTATTCCAGGCATCTCCAAGTTCTTTGGAATATTGTTTGTCAAAATGATCCAACACAACTTTGCAAATCTGTTTTGTAAGCTTCCCATCTGATTTTCCTTTCAGCTATGATGATAAGAAAATGATGCTGACACACAGATATTATTTACAAATTTACTGAACTTCAACATTAGGACAGTCTTTATTTTTTTAACTATAAGAACACTTTGTTGGAGAATTACTAGTTCTTGAAATAGGAGCAATACCTTACTTGTAATAAAGTTGTATTACGATATGCTGCATACTTATGAAAAAAGAGGGTTTCTCCAAATGAGTATTGTCGAGTGTGAAACAAAAGTTAAGGCAGAATCTAGAGGTGCTAACGAAACTGTGCCAAAAAGGACAAAATTAACTCTAAAAGGTTACTGTAGACATTAACAGCAAGGGAAACTTAGTGAAAGGTATACAGGAACTCTACTCTCTTCCCAACTCTCCTGTAAACCTAAAATTACTCCATATAAAAGTTAATTTAAGAAAAAAACTCACTCCACTTTACTCTTAAAATTTCCTTGCAGTTGTTTCATTTATTCATTCAAGAAAAGTGAATCGAGGGCTTACTACGTAAGACAATGCTGTAAGCTCCTGGGACACAGCAATGATACACAAGACAAATTCCAGCCCTCGAGGAGGTGGAGGAAGTATTGTAAGTCTCCAAGCTAGGCTGAGGGTAGGGTAACCCGGTAACAGAGGGGAGTCCTAAACAGCAAGCGTCAGTGCACTGAGCATTATTCCAGGGCTCGATAGAGAAGCCAAGGAAATCCAGATATCGCGAAGAGGCAGCCAAAGGTGAAGTTCTGCCATCCCGTCCCCCACCCTCACCCCTCGTTCGCACAGAGAAGTATCTGGTTCATTCAGAGGACCCGGCCGGGCCCTAGGCCTCACCCGGGTCAGGATCATCCTGCTTTGAACTTCCAAACTAGAGATCTATTAAGAACTGGAACCAGAAAGCCTACAGGGAACTGAAAGAACAGCTTAACTTCCGGGATTCGCGGGATTCCGCTTCCGTTCTGACATTTCCTGTTCAAATTCTCGCGAGATACTGCTATGGCTGCGATATAAAAATCTCGCCAGAGGCGCAACTCTCGCGAGAGACACACGCGAAGTTACTTCGGGTGCCTGATGGAGGCGGGTATTTCCAAGCCCGCGGAGGCAGGGAGGAAGGCTTTTGTGGATGGGACTGCTGGCTGGAGCTTTGGGTGTCCGCGGCGTGGGCGCTGGCCGGATCTTAGAACTTCATACTTCGTTTTGAACTGTCTCAGTGTATGGGGCTTGACGAAAGAACGAGGCTTTGGGCTATGTTGTATGATTGTTTTAAAATGTTCTCAAACACGAATCTAGTTACTGAATAATCTACCAAATCTGATGATCCTCCTTGACCCAGATAGTTAGTACTCAAGGATAAAAGGGTGAAATAAGGTGAAATAAGTCACATGTTTTGCCAGAACTGGCCCCTGGGGATAACCTCTCCTCCTCCTAATGGGGAGTGTTACATGAGTAAATTGAAATACACATGTAAAGCCGTTAGCACAGACACTAGGGAACAGTAAGCGTCCAATGTGCGCTGCCGCTATCTTCACTACCAGGATCGTGGCCATTATCATCATCACGTTCTGATAACAAATGCCCGAAGACTAAAATGACTGTTCACACTAGCCTCCCCATTCACCTTTTACAATGAGCAATGTTAATGGTTCTTACGAAAGTGTTTATTACACCATTCTGATAAGAATAGTTTACTTGCTCCCTTAGTGTTATTCTTTAGTAACTACCCCTTGTAGCAGCGATCAGCGGTTTATCACGCACGCAAAAAAATTCAGTGCTTAATATGGTCTCCGATATTCAATAGGCACCGTTTTGAGTTGGCCCTTGATGCTCATAGTTTAGTTATACGCATTAAGTACAAGACTTATAACCATGTAAAAATATGTCTTTACCACTAATGTAATTTGAAACTTAATATATTTTTAAACAAGTTTCCCAGTAATCTAAAAGTACATGTTATTAGAATTTATATTTGGTGACAAAGGAAAATATGGTATTAAGGAGTGAAATGATGAAATGCATGTCATCTGTTGGATGTTTGTAGAAAAATTAGTCTCAGCCTCTATCCTTAGAAATTTTATAAACTTATTTTTCTGTGCTCATTACAGAATGTTGCAATTAATGAACACAGTAGTATTATATCTGCAATGTAAACATGTAAAAGAATTTTAAGAAGGTAGCAAGAATCTATATTTCTATGAGGGAAAGACTGTTTACTTGGAAAGAGGTCATATTCTATAATATTGTTTTGTGACTCAGCATATTTCTATTGTGATTTTAAATAAACATCTTTACTCATGAATTTTTGTCTCCACTTTTGATAATCTCCTTATAGTTTCTAATTACACCCTTAGTTTGGGTAAGTTTTCAAATCTTCGTAGTTATTTCTTAGATTACCTGCTTATAACAACTGATCTATAGGTGTCTTAGTGCTATTTTGTTTATATTTATATTAGAAATGTTAACTATCTCACATTTTTAAATACTTTCCCAATTTTTCTTATAACCATTTTCTTACAACCATGACTTTAAATGTGAAAATATTTTAAACTTGTATGCATTATCAATTGAGTTTGTTATCCATTGCATTGTTTTTAGGCTTATAAATTTCATCCCACAAAGGAAAGCCACTTGTTTCTTTACCCCTTTTTAAAAATAATTTGATTGGCCGCGGGGTGGCTCAAGCCTGTAATCCTAGCACTCTGGGAGGCGGAGGCGGGAAGATAGCTCCAGGTCAGGAGTTGGAAACCAGCCTCAGCAAAAGCCAGACCCCCGTCTCTACTAAAAAAATAGAAAGAAATTAGCAGGACAACGAAAAATATACAGAAAAAATGAGCCAGGCATGGTGGCACATGTCTGTAGTCCCAGCTACTTGGGAGGCTGAGGCAGGAGGATCGCTTGAGCCCAGCAGCTTGAGGTTGCTATGAGCTAGGCTGACGTCTGGGAAACAAAGTGAGACTCTGTCTCAAAAAACAGAAAAAAAGAAAAATAGTTTGATCTTTTATACTTAACCCCTTAATTAATCTAGAATTATTTCTGTATCATGAGAATGTTAATGGATTTACTCCCTTACTCCCAAACCAAATAGTTACTGAAGGATAAACAAAACTCTACATTGAGTTTTACGAATAGAAACTGTTATTAATAGAAGCAGACTTGTTTGAAACCATTGCAGACATGAAAGAAGAAATTGAGCTGAATACCAGAAATGACATTTTTTTTTTAATGGTAGTGTTAAAAAACCAAGCAACTTAATAAAGACTTAACCTCTAGGCGGGAAATGAATTTTTACATACTGAAGCAATTTTATTTTAAAGTTGGTTGATCTAAGAAGTGTTTCAGAATAAGCACACTTTACAGACCATCTCCTAAACTAGCTATGTTTTATGAATTTTCATATTTGTATTTAAAAATGTCTCAAAATCCTTCATGATCATATAGAGGTTTATGCTGTAAAAAGGTAAGGGCTGGCTTTTTAGTAAAACAATCAGAAATTAAGAGAGCCCTTAGCTCTTTAAAGTATATGGCAGGAAAATACAATGGAGGAACCAGTGATCCAGAAAACACAGCATAGTTATAGGCGATCTTGGGCTTAAGCTTCAGGTGAGGCTAATATTTTATTAAAATTTAAGGCTCCAAAGTGGTATGTATAAACTCCAGCAGACAATCTGCTGCCAACTGGAAAGTACATATATGTACTTCAATTTTTATTAAGTTCTGTCTAATCTTTTAAAATTAATTTTTAGGGGGGTAGATTTAAAAATACACATAGTACAATAGAACAACTATGTAACTGTTATGGGCTGAAATTTGTCCCTCCAAAATTTATGTTAAAGCCTTAACCCTCAGTAACTCAGAATGTCTATATTTGGAGATAGGGCCTTTAAAGAGTTAAGTTATACAAAGTCATAAAGAGAGGAAAATTGAACAGACAGAGACATCAAGGATACACATGTACATGTAGAGAGAAAAGGCCACGGATGTGAGGACACAGCACAATAGTGGCTATTTTATAAGGCAAGGAGAGAGGCCTCAGGAGAAACCAAACCCATCAACACCTTGGTCTTAAGACTTCCAGCATCCAGAACTGTGAGAAAATATATTTCTGTTGTTTAAGCCACCCAGTTAGTGGTATTTTGTTATGGCAGCCCTAGCAAACTAATAAAATAAATATAAATGTATATTAAAAAATGTTTACTTACAAGGTCTTTACTTGGGGTCAATATAAAAAATAATAATAAAAAAACTAATAATAAAAAAAGCTTACTGACAGCAGGTATTATTATAAAAATTTGGAAACCACTGATTGACTTGCCTAAGTCATAAATTCTGTGTCCTCATTGGCACTGGGAGGAATTTACAATACAGGCCCAAAACAAATGACTTTTTTCCTATTCCCTTAAATTATAAGCTAATTCTCTTCATTAAAGGAAATTCATTTCTGAGTTCTTACCTTTTCTTAAAAAAAAGGCTTTCAGCTTTCTGTTTCCACAAAGCTGAAAGAATACTGCTATTATATTTTGATAACCTATACCATATTTTATTGGAAATTTTGAAATATCTGAGTTTGTTCTTTGGATCAGCTGGAATATATTTCTTGATAAATTAAATAATCATTATTACCAGAATCTCAGTTGCAAAGCATATTCCACCAAAAGAAAAATTTAGAAATTAAAGCCAAGAATAATAAAGTTTATAAGCTATAGCTTTATCTGTATAAACAGTTTCACTTTTGAACAGCTTTTGTCATCTGGAAGCATTTGATTTCTTTTGTTGGAATGGGAGAAACTGAGTAACATGAATAGAATGGCATACTGAACCAAACATCAAATCAAAATATTGTCATAGTAAAAGAACACTCACTAAGAGATCAGCAGCAAATACAATGGTGTATTCTGTAGGTGAACTGCTCTCTCGGCTATTCATAGGTTTTAGGTTTTACATATTAAGGGAATTATAGTCTTTCATTTGGCATTTAAAAGAGCACTTAATTTTAAACTTGCAGAAAATATGGTACTTAATTTATACAAAATTATAAATTTCCTTCCCCCACTATAAAAGTTAACCAAAATTATACAAAAATAGTTTGAAAAGTTGAAGAAAATATACAACCAATAACTCTAAAAAATTCACTATTAGCATTTGGCAACATTTCTTTCTAGTTTTTATGCATAGTTTTATACTTGATTTCTTGTTTTTATGCATAGTTTTATACTTGATATCAATTACATACAATATTGCATATACGGTATATACATATGCATTTTACACATAAAGGCATATGTGTCAAAGGATTATCTTTTAAATCAATAAAAATAGATGTTGACCAGTAGCTTTAATAAAATACAGATATCAAATCATCTAGAATCATATGTTATAAAATGTTATCTTTAGTTGTGTTTAAAATCATAACATAAAAATTGAGAAAAAAGTTTTTCATGTAAAATAAAAAACATACTTACCTATTTTATGACCCAAACAAAATCATTTCAATGCACCAAATGAAAAGAGAAATGAGGTAGTAGCATAAATTATTTTTATTGTGTGAAAATGTCATAATTCATGATGATGAAAAATATAGCATATAGCAAAATACATATTTAATTGTTAAAATCTACCTAAATTTACAGAACATGTTTTAAAGTATTTTAGAATGCTTTAAGAATACAAATTAAAATTTTTGAGAGAGCTATACAAAACGCTAATTCCATTTTATAATATATTTAATTTCAAAATCATTTTTATTTGTTTTTATTAAATGGAGTCAGTAAATACACTACAGTAAACACTGATACGAAATACAAATCTTAAAAACATGTATATTCTCAAACTAGATAAATATTAAAAAGATGTCAAAAATATGAGTTTTGTTTAAAAATTGAATAAATGTAAATATTACAAAAGGAACCAAAAAGTTGTTCAATTTTCCCTCCAAAATCCAATAAAAAATTCACATACTGTCTTCTTGTGTTGCTTTTCATCACATTTCAGCCACCTATCAAATTTATGTTGTTGTGAATTTTATATCTGAAGTAGAATGCTTTTTACTCCCTCAATGTGGTAGGTAGGTCCCATGTACAAACTCCAACAAACTATATGGTGCTGACTACAGGAATAAGTGACCTGATTAATGAAAGTTCAGTGAGTTAAAAATATGAATATAATGCTCTGAAATAAAACTTTAAAAGTAAATAATAATCATAATAAATTGCATTAAATGTACTTCTTAATGTTATTATCAAATACCAGTATATGTCTATTGTCAGTACAAGTTACCAGAAGCACCAATCTTAACAAGGTGATATAGAAATCATTCCATTTATAGGGTTCTCACCTTGATATAAAGATATGTTTTCAATTAAATGCAACATTATGAATCTATTATTCCAAATATAAATCCAAAAGTTTGTCTAATGCCAGATGAATAGAGAATCTTATGAATGCCATGCTTAAGTGCAAGAGAAGTGTTATCTTTCTAAATTGAGAAACTATTTTGGAATTATTTATTTACAAAAGTAATTCTGAACCAATATTTTTACTCGTATTGCTTTAGTATCAAGCTATTTCCCTCGTTGTAAAACACAAGTCTTTGGACCTGCATTAACTTTTGTGGTCTTTGTGCCTTTAATTTCAAGGCATTATGTAATGCTTTCGCATTACAATAACCTAAAAAAGTCACTACTGCTTCTGTCAGAACAAGGGAGCACCTTGATCTCTGAAAGTAATCTTTAAAATATGGGTTTATTGAAACTTTTAATAATATCTCACAGAATATATTTTGATTAATTTAAAAAGCATTTAGGTAAAAATGGTATTTCAAGTCTTTCATTTATTAAGATCATCACCAAAGAAAACAAACAACAAAATGAACTTTCTCCTTGGGTATTACTTTCAAAGCACATATGTTAGACTAAAGATCTGAGAATCTACTGTTTTAAAAGGTATTATTTTTAAATTAGGACAAATTAGGACATACACTTGAAGAACAATGTTATTAAAAAACATACCTGAAGTCATATAAATATATCCTGTTTTTATAGTTCATGTCTATCAAGTAAATCAACTCTACTTTCCAGACACAATTTAAGCAGAGCATCTATAGAAAAGTGCACAATCAATATCATAGTAATTACAATTCTTAAAAGTTTTAGAAAAATATAAAAATAGTTAAAAATTTAGGTTATAAATCCCAGAAGTTCCCCTTCCATGTGCATGTATTTTACAAAAAATGTTTAATATATAGAAATACAGACTATTAAAACAAATAGTAAAGAAAGTATACAGAGTCCATTGGCTCTTTCTCTGAAAAAGTTTTCCTTCAGGAATATGCTCATGAGTGGGGATGTGCACACCAAAGAGACAACACTAAATCTTTCTAACTTGGTCCAAATGTTCATCCCATCAACTGGCCATTTTTCTTTCTTTCTTTTTAACTGTGAAGAACATCAGTAATTATCAAGTGAGATCCTTAACTATTCATCTTCTTACTGAAATCACTACGGTTATCTTGCCCCAGTCAACAATGTTCAGGGTTTTTCTTCTTTTGAGAAAAAAGAACGTCCCACTTCACCTTGCTGATATTAAGAGAGCTCATCCACAAGACTTGGCTATGAGATCACGTCATGAACATCACCGTTGGGTCTCTGTCGCACAGCCAGGGGAGGCAGCGGCTTCCCATAGAAATCTACATAAAGAAACCAAAAGCATACAACAGTTATGGTAAATCAAGATTTTTAACACAGTTCATTATTTCCCAACCAACATCTTTAAAAAAAGTAAGACATTCTAACTTAGCAAGTGAGGCCATGGGTGGGGAAGACAGAAAAACAATCAGAATCCAAGAAAACTTTAACAAATTGAAAACACAATCACCCCGATAAATTCCTAACTGTAGATTAGAAATTAATCTCTACTTGACTTAATAAAAAGCTGCACCTATTGGATATATTTATTATTATTTTTGTTTCCAATTACACATTCATACTAGAACAGAACAAATACAAAATATGGAACCTACTGCTGATGTCTTGATAAGTCCATTCTATGTTTTTATCCAGTGGCTGCTACTTTTAGGTATTCAGGAGAAGCATTCATTAATTATTCCTGTGTTCTTGAAAGTTACAATCTTTTACAATAATGCTTCAACATAGTTCAGTGATTTGTAGAATATTTTATTTTTTAAAAAGTATTATTTTGTTCTTCATAATAAATTTTTATTCCTTAATTATCATAAATTGGCTTATAAATTATTATTTTTTTTGAAGAAGGGTCTTGCTCTGATGCCTGGGCTAGGGTACAATAGTGTTATCATAGCTCATTGCAGCCTCAAACTCCTGAACTCAAGCAATCCTTTTACCTCAGCCTCTCGAGTAGCTGGGACTATGAGTAGCTAGGACTATAAGCGAGTGCCACAACACCCAGCTAATTTTTCTATTTTTTGTAGAGCTGCGGTCTCACTCTTGCTCAGGCTGGTCTCCAACTCCTGGCCTCAAGCAATTTTCCCACCTTGGTTTCCCAAAGTGCTAGAATTATAGGCATGAGCCACCACAGCCGGCTAGCTTATAAATTTAATGGCATATGTAAACCTTCAGTCAGTACTTACTTTCTGGTCTGTCACCTTAAAATTATTCTAGAAGCATAGGTGTTCAGGATCACTTAAAATAAATATATTAAAAATATGTTAGGGGAAAATGATTTTTAAAACAACTATAGATTCAAAGCAACTACTAAGCTGCAAGGATATCCTAACAAATCTTAATAGAATATAATGCTATATCAGGATGAATTAAAGGTATAAGTTTCAAAGCTGGACAGACCTAAATTCAAATTCTGATTCTGCCACTTAATAGCTATATGGCCTTGGGGTATAGGTTCCTCATGCACAAAATGAGTATATTGTTGCCCATCCTATAAGGATATTTGGGAGAATTAAAATGACATAAATACCTAAAGTGATTAGCAATATGCGAGGCACATGATATATGTAGTTATAATTAAAATAAGAGATATTCAATTATTTTGATAAATTATATCCTAATTTCTTAAATTCAAAATTAATAGAATTTTAATACGGAACAGAACTCACAGTTAAACTAATGTGAATATTTACTAATAGGTTTTACTTTTACAATTTAAAAATATCTTTTTTAGAAGATAAATAAATATACATTCAAGACATCTCTTCTTCCCTGCCAGAAAATTAGCTTACTCCTGTTGTTGATTTTGTTCTATTTCTTAGGCAGAAAATCAAATCATTCTATACAAAGTAGGTTTCTTATTATTACCTTAATTCTAGAGGATATAAGTTGATTTTCCAGCTAAAATGACCAACTTAATTGCCAACACATATTTTTATAAAGGGTTTCAAATTTTTTAACATGAAAATGGAAGAGCAGTAAAACTTCACACAAAATTTTATCTTCCTTCATAATTTTAATATTCTTTAGTTTGTGGATTTGGTATTTTTTACCAACAGAATCTTTGATTCATTTCTCATAATGTATAATACATAATACATAACATATTCATAAAGTACAGATTGAGAGTATTTACAAGCGAATATACATTCTCTTTTTAAATCTCTTCTCCAAACACATCTGTCTTACCTGTTACACTGAGCAAGCTCTGCAAACAATAAAGCAATTAGAAATGTAGAAGCAAATTGCTACCAAGGTACATGCCTATAATCAAAGTACAAGTAAGTCTCTGCCTTATAAATTCACAATCTGACTATAACAAATTATTTTTCAACTCAGAAAATTTTAAGCTAAATCAAATGTAGTCAGTTTTTAATTATTTACTCTAGTTCATCATATATGTGTTGTCTACTTGCCATCAACCTTATATCAATATGCTTCTAAATATAAATGCAAAGAAATATGTACAAAGTAAGGAAAAGAAGAGGATGCAATTATGTAATTGGTACCTAACAGTATCTCAGATGAAAATCTCATGATGACCCCTAAAAACTATTTAATATAAGCTTTTTGTACTAAAATTTTACATGTATCATATATGCTTTCTTCTCCAATTAATGAAAACTGAGTTGACTGTACATTTTAACCCAGGTTAGGTATACTTTCACTTCGAATTTATTGGACAAAATAATAGAAACATTTTAAAACTTGTGAAGTTATAGTGTTTTTTCTGCTCTGGGAAGTTAGTTTGATACATACTTAAAATTAACTAAAATATTAGAATATAATGGTCTTAAACTGAACTAATTTACTGTAATTCTTTCCCAGGAGTTCTAATTTAAAAACAAACACAGAAAAGGAGAAATTTTTTTAAAAATACCTTCTCAACCCATTTTCAACTCTTTTTTCCATTTACCCTTAACTGTGATGTTCCCCCTGAATGCTACCATCAGTTATTTTCTTTTTACTTCTTACTCTTAGTACCGAAACAACCTCCTAACTGGGATTCTTACTGCATGTGTAGCCATCATCAAATCTATACTGTACATTGTGACAAAAATTATTTTTCTAAGCAGCAAATCTAACAAGATCATTTTCGCTTTTAAAAATGAATACTATCTCTTAAAAAATTATAGCAAGTCTAGATATCTTATCATACATATAAAGCCTTCACAATCTGACACTAAGCCTTAAATCTACTTTCAATACTCTCTATAATTTAAAAATTTCTCTTTCTTATCCACTCTATGCACATGAACCTAAGCTCCAGGCACAGGTAACTTCATGCTATTCTTCAAATAAACATTGTTCTTTCCTACCTCTCTATCTCTAAACAATCCACTGCTTCTGCTGACTCTTCTCATTCTTCAAAGACCCAGTTCTAATGCCAACTTCCCTAACTGCCCATGCAGCTTATGCACAGCACTCCAGTTGTAAACCATAGAACTTATTGGCATAGAACTTACCGCAGCTTATGCACAGTACTCCATAGAACTTATTGGCATATATACTATAGTAAGCTGAAGTATTATCTTCTCCATTAGATTAGGACCTCCATAAAGGAAGAATGTGCATCTTACTCATCATTACCAATGTTTTAGATACTGCTAATTACAAAATAGTTGCTTATTAAATGACAAGGTCAGTAAGAGAAAAAAAGTCTGTCATATTAAAAATATTTTTTCTATGGTTGGGCGCGGTGGCTCACGCCTGTAATCCTAGCACTCTGGGAGGCCGAGGTGGGCGGATTGCTCTGCTCGAGGTCAGGAGTTCGAAACCAGCCTGAGCTAGAGCGAGACCCGTCTCTACTATAAATAGAAAGAAATTAATTGGCCAACTAATACATATAGAAAAAATTAGCTGGGCATGGTGGCGCATGCCTGTAGTCCCAGCTACCTGGGAGGCTGAGGCAGCAGGATCACTTGAGCCCAGGAGTTTGAGGTTGCTGTGAGCTAGGCTGACGCCATGGCACTCACTCTAGCCTGGGCAACAAAGCGAGACTCTGTCTCAAAAAAAAAAAAAAAAGATTTTTTCTATATATGTACATGTGTATATATATATAAACACACTTAACATTACCTAGTTTTTTCTAACTCAGTGAATATTTAAATTGACAATGTATTGTACACAAATTCACTAAGAGTTATCATGAGTTAATCTACTATAGTTAATATAAACATCATGATGTAAAGTCAGTAAACCAGAGATATGTGATTCCACCGGAACAAACACTTTAGTAATTCTGATATAATCTAAGGACAAACTTTTCTGCCTTTAGAAATGTGGGGAAAAAAAGCAGATAATTTTCACTAATGATTATAAAGAAATATTTTATTACTGATCTACAGAATTCTGAAAACAAAAGCAAATAGCATATTTATATTCATGTACTTTTTGAATGAAAATATTTTATACAGTTTGACATAATTTCAAATTAGATGGTAATGCTTTTCCAAAGATTAAACTTCTTTTTTCGTAGTGATTTCCTTAGAAAACCAAGTTCCAGATTATGTAAACACAGTCATCAAAAAGGGAATTGAAGGACAGGTGAGGTGGCAGAGGTGAAAGGATTATTTGTGGCCAGGAGTTCAACTAGCCTTTGCAACATAGTAAGACTCTGCCACTACAAAAAATTGAAAAATTAGCTAGGCATGGTTATATCTGCCTATAGTCCTAGCTACTTGGGAGGCTAAGGCAGGAGGATTACTTGAGCCCAGGAGTTCATGGTTATAGTGAGCTATGATTATACCATTGTACTCTAGTCTAAGTAATAAAGCAAGACCCTGTCTCCAAAAAAAAAAGGAATTCGATGTTCTCAATGGACAAGTTTATTGAGTACAATTCTATATAGTTATTATGCTTTTGCATTCTGGAAATATTTTATGGAAACAACTTAGACTGATGGTCTGTAATCACAACTATTGCCTGTTTTAGGAAGCAGCTGTCTACTATTTCTAACTGTCCTTTCTCTAGTTTTTGCCTCCTGAAGTTCTAATGCCATAAACTAGCTAGACTATAGCTTATGTTAATTTTATTCAAAGTTGTTCTCTTAACTCAATAAAGCCTTTAGTAACTTTCCGTTTAGCTGAACTTTATTTGGGTTACTGATTTCAGCTCTGATGTTACAAATTGTGTTGATCTTTATTTCATTTTAATATTCAGCAGCTGTGTGTGTTAGGAATAGAGGGAGAAAAATTATGTAGCACTATCATTGAGCACATTGAGCATATATAGGACACTGCAGTTGACACTGTATTATTGTCTCATATTTAAATTGTCTTAAAACATTCCCTTTTTCACAATTACTTGTATAAATGTATCATACATAAACACAAGCTATGATTCTTCTTACCTGTATTCTAAGGTAAACATCAAATCAAATAATAAAGAGGTAAAAGCCCACTTAAGAATAAAAAAATTTTAAAAAATTAAAAATGAAGTATAATAAAAAAGGATGGCTGTGGATTTGAAAGGCTTCCAAAAATAAAATATAAGGTTGTTGAAGTTATGAGGTAAAGAAAAGTGGATGTAATATGATATGTAACATGATATTTGAAAACTGATCCTTTTGCATTACCATTATGACGTGTTTCACCAAGAGGCTCAAGTTTTGGAAGTCTAGTGACTTTAGGGGTTCCCCAGCCAACTAAAGAAAAAGAAAAACATTTAAAAACACTGTTAAACAATGTCTCTTTAGGTCTGTTGAGAGGATCCCTCCCTTGACAGGAAGTGTTTATAACACTCAATGTCAATTCAAATATACTGAATGACAAAGTACTACATAGTTATAAACTTGTTTTAAATCAGTTCTATTTAAAAATGTAATTATAGGCTGTTAACAACTGCTTTAAGTTTTCATTCACATTTAATTAAAAATATAAGAAGCTTTACTACCATCATAAATAAGCTTAGGATACCATTCTCACCCCTAGCAGAGGTTAAATGTGTTCTTAATAAATGGAATACTAGAAATGAGACTTTAAAAATTTCTTAAAGGAAAATGTTACCATCTAAAGTCTTGTAAGCAGGGCTCCTATGAAGACATTATAAACATATTTACCTGGTCACCAGATATTTATTGAGCAACTATAGTAGGTGAATATGCTTAGTGTTGAAAGGTTATAATTATTGTGCAGGTATGTCCCAGTATTTTACATGATTTACTCCACTTAATCCTTTTAACAACTTAGGAGGTAGGTATATATGCTGGAAATATATTAGAAATATTAATACATCTTGGATTTAAACATTAACTTTCAGGATAAAAGGTCTAATTTTTTAAAAGCTCACATTAACCATCCATCTATGACACTTACATTATTTTTAGTAATCTGGGTACTGATATTTCAAATAGAATTTGAACATATTCTAGGAAGTACCGAGTAAGGTTTTCTTAATAGTTTTTAATTTTTTTTATAAAACATAATTTTTTTATAAAACTTTTATAAAACATTTCTTTCTGATTAAAAAAAGGAAAAGATATTTATATTGACAAGAACAAATTAGAGTGAAGAACTCTTCTACACAAATTCACAATAAATATACTACATAAAAACTACACAATTTTTTTCCTTTTTTCTCCCTTCTTTAAAGCAGCATTTCTAAATTCAGTATCAATATCAATTTACTTACTAGGAGGAGGAGGTGGGGGTGGCGTTGGACTTTTAGGAGCAGAGTCATCTGTATTAACTGGCTCTACCCGGTGACTCCTTTTCATTCTTAGTTTCTTAGTTTTCTTTTTACCGTTATCTATAAGAATAAAAACATGAAATATTATACCTTTGAAAAAAGGTGAACTTCTATAATAAAAAAACAAAGAATAAAACAAGAATATTGATATAATTAACATAAAAACATCTTTTATTCAACTTTGGAAAGTGTTACTAATGATCAAATATGAACTCAAATTTACTAAGAATAATTTTTTTTTAAGTGACGGCTTGAATAAGTGATTAATGAATATGATATAAATAGCCAAAAGTCTGTATATTAAGTTCTAAGAGAAATTATTTAGAATACAAAAAAAGTTTACATTTCCAAAAGCAACTTATATTTCTCTCAAATGTCATATGAAACAAATATAATTGTCTAATTGCAGGAGTTTCCATGAAACTCAGAATGGCCTGAGAAAAAAAGAGTTGTTGATTTTTCTCAGTGGGATATGTAGAATAATTCTGGGTATAAATAATCCAAAAATAATCCTTTGAAATGTTAAAAAAAAAGACCCTAATTAAATCTAAATACATTCATTAAAATAATCTCTAAACAAGGTATGCCCAATACAAGTTTATGTGATCAAAAATCACATTAGGAGACCTACCATAATTGAATTTGTTTTCTTTCTCTTTTTTTTTTTTTTTTTTTGAGACAGAGTCTCACTTTGTTGCCCAGGCTAGAGTGAGTGCCATATCATCAGCCTAGCTCACTACAACTTCAATCTCCTGGGCTCAAGCAATCCTACTGCCTCAGACTCCTGGGTAGCTGGGACTACAGGCATGCGCCACCATGCCCGGCTAATTTTTTGTATATATATTTTTAGTTGGTCAATTAATTTCTTTCTATTTTTAGTAGAGACGGGGTCTTGCTCTTGCTCAGGTTGGTTTCGAACTCCTGACCTCGAGGGATCCGCCCGTCTCGGCCTCCCAGAGTGCTAGGATTACAGGCGTGAGCCACTCCGCCCGGCCTGAATTTGTTTTCTTTCAAAATAGAATTATTTATAGATCCCTACTCAAACACATATAAACATTTTAAGGATATTTATGTTAATATGTAAATTTGAACAAAGTAAACCAGGATGGCATATTATATAACCAAATTTAGAACATTAAAGTTACTGTAATATTTTAACTGACAATTACAAATTGCTAAATTTATATATATGTAATATATTTTCTAAAATGAGAATTATCTGCAATAAAAATATCTAATATCTGTGAAGCCTACAAAGTAATAAAAATGAAAATATATTTAAAAACAAATTATTTTTCTAATAAATTAGTGTCACTTGAGACATTTCACTTCCAATAGAAACAAAGAAATCATTTTACAATTAAAGCAGTAAGCTTTACAACTGGAAGAATAGAAAGAGAGTTCCAGAACTACATAATACTTCATGATGGGCAGTAGCTTAGGGTCATGGGGATGTGGAACATGATCTGGACTGGGGTCTCAGTCTACCCACTGATGAAATGCATGATCATACATAAACAAGTTATTCAACTTCTTCAAGTGGCTGGTTTCCTCATTTATGTAACAGGAAAAATACACCCCAGAATTGCTTTGTTAAATAGCATAATGCTATGTTGAATAATATAACTTAATGCACCTGAAGGCATGTTTTAAAGTATACAGTACAATGTTATATATTTTTATAGTTATATGAATTACTACCTTAGATCTCCCTGTGCTATATTTTCAAATCATTTGCCAAATCATTTTGCTTTTTAAAATATAATATTTTAGGGCCAGGTGCAATGGCTCATGCCTGTAATCCTAGCACTTTGGGAGGCTAAAGCAGGAGAATCACTTGAGGCCAGGAATTCAAGACCAGCCTGAGCACAAGTGAGATCCCATCTCTCCTAAAAATAGAAAAATTAGCCAAGCATGGTGGCATGCACCTGTAGTCTAAGCTACTTTGGAGGCTGAAGCAGGAGGATCACTTGCACCCAGGAGTTTGAGTTTACAGTGAGCTATGATGACCCAACTGCTAGAATCCTTTTTAAAAACTGAAACCACAGTAATAAATCCTTTTAACTCTGTTGCCATAATTCTATGGGTATGGATAAGGCTGCTCTAACTTCCCAACTGTCAAAAAGTATAACTTTCAAATCTAATATTTTCAATTCTGTACCTCAGAATTGAAACCTTATTTTCATAAACCCTATGATACTATAAAAAATTCTTATAGATAATAAAGGCATATTACTAAATAGGAAGGCAAGGAAGTAACAATTATTGGGCATCACCTACTTGGCAGATAGTGCTAGGAGTGCTAGAGTGTTATTTTATAGCTAACCCTAAAAGCCCTGTAAATAAAGATTGTTTTTCCCCATTGTAGAGATAAAGAAACTAAGACTGAAGAATGCTATATGAATGAAAGAGTCAGGATTCTATCACAGGTTGTCTGATTGCAAACACAGGCTGACTCTCTATGACAGCATAGACATGAATGTTCTATTAAATCACATAACCAGTTGTGGGGGGGGAAGCAGTTATGAGTTGAAGATTTTGTATGATATTAAAATAAGAGGAAATTGGCTATTTGACAAGATTTTTACAAAATGTCCTATTGGTTATGTTTGTATCCTATAGAAATAGCCAGTCAATAAAAGAAATGATGTTGATTTTAGCATTATGAGGCTTAAAAAACATACAAATAAAAAAGAAGACTGAAAGATGTTAAATATATTCCAAGAATTCTTGAGGGCTATGCTGTATTCCAAATTTGTGAAAATAAAATTTAAAACTGAATCTTCTGTTGAAATCTTTATAAGTAACAAAGTATCACATTTTAAGTCATAATGGGAAAAACATGTTAGGAGCAAACTGGCAAATGAGTAATTAAGGACCTTGAGAAAATCATGATAAATACTGTATTTGGAGACAAAAAATATTACAGTACATTTTTGTGAAAATAAATATGATAAATGAAATAAAGTATAAATAAGGTCTTATTAATATATACATATGAAAATTACTTTAAATAAATTTATCACCTGATTCTGATGATCGCTGGTCTGTCTCATCTTCATTCTCCAACTGCTTCTTATAATTTTCTACTAGTCCAGATTCATTGCTTTTTTGGCCATTGTCACTAATCTTGCTCTCTGGCTCTATTTGCTCATGCTCCATTTTATGTTTCAGGTGGCAGCCATCACTGACTTTCTCCATCTTTTGCTTCTTTTTCTCTTTTTCCATTTTTTTTTCATTCTAACAACAACAACAAAAAACCCTATTATCTTTATTATCATGTTTATATATAAGATAGTTTTAAGGAAGAAATCAAATAATCTAACAACATTCTGTAACTTCAAGGACACTGTGAGATTTCTATTTAAAAAAGTGTTGATTGTATCATTAAAACATGTTAATTGCCAAATATTCAGTAAATATATAAAGTAAAACAAAAGAAAACAAATATTAAGAGTAATTCCACCATCTAGTGATGACCACTATTCAGTGTATGATGACAAAGCGGTGCTTTTCTCTACCTATCCCCACACACATACAGACATACACCACCTACAAACATATATAAAGTTAATTATCTCCATATACATATTTACGTATTGGTTTTTTTGGTTTTTTGTTTTGAGACAGAGTCTTGCTCTGTCATCCTGGGTAGAGTGCAGTGGCATCATTGTAGCCACCACAACCCTAAACTTCTGGGCTTGAACGATCCTCTTGCCTCAGCCTCCTGAGTAGCTCAGACTACAGGTGCATGCCAGGATGCCTGGCTAATTTTTCTATTTTTAGCAGAGATGGGGTCTCACTCTCAGGCTAGTCTTGCACCCTACGCCAATGCACCCGGCCTTATATTTGTTTGTTGTTTAAACAAAAAAGAACTGAAGATTTTATTTAATAATATAAACTTCTTTCCATGTCAATGAATATACAAAGTGCTTAGAATAGTACCTCAAAATACTATGTAAGTGTTAGCTACTATTATTTTCATCAATTACATTATCACTTTGAATGGTTAAAGCATAACTTATTTATAACTTATTTTACCAATTCTCTATCAATGGAGAACAAATTTACTTTCAGTTTTTCACTATTACAAGAAATACAATCATCCTATTAGCTTTTTTAAGATTACATTCTTAACAACAGAATTGTTGGAATGTCATGCATATTCACAAACTTCCCTTCAGAAAAACTAAATCAATTTATACTGTCAGGGTGTTCCATAAAAACCCGCCTGTTTCACTTATCCCGCTCCTAAATTGAGCAGCTACTAATACTCACAGCTGATGAGGTGATTTGGGTCATACTTCTGATTGGCTGACTACCATGTAAATGAAGTAACTTTTGGGACATACTTCTGATTGGCTGACCACTATGTAAATGAGGTGACTTTTGTGAAAACTTGTTATTGGCTAACTGTAACCCCCCAAAAGGTATAAAACTAAAAGAAAATGAAAAAGGGGCGCTCAGAATTTGGTGGCAGATATGCCTCTCTGAGCCCACTGGCGAAATAAAGCTGACTCTCCAACTCTCCGTGTGCTGCTTGGGTGTTTCTTCAGCCAGGAGCTGTTCACACCTGCGGGAACAATACCCCCAGGCAAAGGGTTGGGAAGGTGATTTTTCTCTACATCTTTCTCTGCAAATCATTAATGACCTTTTACATCTCTGACAAATTAGCAAATAACCATGTTTACCTTAGTGTTGTTTTAGTTTAATTTAAAATTTTTATAGTTATTAGCAAAGATGAACTATTAAATACCCTTCTTGCCATTTTTATTTTTCCTTTAAAGAATTGCCTGTGATAACCCAAGGCCCACTTTTCTGTTAGATTTTCATTATTTTTGTAGTAATTTGCAAGGGTTCTTTAGTTTGTTCTATGTGTCACTAGGACCGGGTCTCATAGTCACATAGGACTACATATCCTATGTGTCCTATTTTCCATTAGGGTTTGTTATGTTCATTTTCATTTTTGCTTTGTAACTTTGTAGAACAGCTCTTTTAAAATTGAATACTACAAGATTTTTTCACTTTATGAAAAAATAAAGTGAATTTTTGATTCACTTTATGATTGTGGCTTGACTGTCCTGCTTTTAAAGTTTTCCACCTCTAAGCATATATAAATATTTAACTCCATTATCAACTAGTATTTTTAAGGCTTTACTTTTTTAATACATTTAAGTCATGGATATTTCCAGAACTTAATTGGCTATACAGTTTTCAATGATTTTACTTTTATCCAAGTGATTGTTCATACTCTTTTCTCTAAGGTTCGAAATGTTTCTTTTATCTTATACTAAATGCTCATGCTTTGTTAGGTTTATTACTATTTTTCCACTGATCTGTCTATTCTGGAACCAATACCTAACAGTACTTTACCAATTTTGTTAACTGTGGTAAAAGCCAAAGGAATGGTAGGTGCTTCTGTTTAATGCAAACATACCAAAGTAAAAGTTTCATGGAAAAAAGAAAATTTGCATAGTGAAAACGAGACTGTCAGCAATTTGTTTTCATTTCTTTACTGATCATCTTCTTAAAAGCATCGTAGTTTAAAAGCATAATAATTATACTTCCCTCATGTCACTTACTAATTCAGAGACTTTCTGCGTACTACTGTACACCAGTATTGTTCAATTCTTTATATTGTGAAAAATACAATGCTGTGAGAAGGGCCTTTTCAGCGATTTATTCCCATGGTACTATAAAATAAACAGTCATTCACAAAGCGAGCTTTATTATATACTTAAGAGTAAATTAATGTTTCTAAGTGAAAAGCAAAACTTGATTTCCTTCTTTCTATCAATATTTTTAAAAGAACCTAAAACAAAACTTGACAAACATAATTTTTGATAGGATGGAGACAAAAACAATAGCTCATGCCATTAAGATGGTTTTACTATACTTAGAAAAACACGTATTTAGAGTGATCCTAATAGGGTTAATGAAATGTGAACTAAAGTAAAATTTTAAGGCTCAATCCCACCAGCTGACTGAATGGACCCCCTCCTGGCCAAAGGAATATCCTAAAATTTAATTGTCTGCCAGGAAGAGGGAGGTCAAATATGCCTTATGCCTCCCTCCCTTCTTGGAGACTTCCTTTGTAACCCATTAACAGGTCTAAGGGTATGCAAAACAAACCTGCAGGTCCTCAATTTATACAACAAATCTATGTCTAGGTGACTTATCTCTGATAACAGCTCCTTATGTTAAAACATTCCAAGCCTTTAGACAAAGCTTCATGTCTTTAACCAATTACAAGCCAAAGAATCTTTAAACCCACCTATAACCTGTAAGCCCTGCTTAGAGATGTCTCACCTTTTTTGTGCCAAACCAATGTATGCCTCCCACATATTGATTGATGACTTTACCTGTGACAACTCCACTCCCCCCCACTGTCTCCCTGAAATGTATAAAAACCAAACTGTAACCCAGCCACAGTGAGTCAACTTGCCCAAGGCCCCTTGGCAATGGCTCCAGGTCATGGTCAAATTTGGCTCAGAATAAATTTCTTTAAAATTATTTTACAGAGTTTGGCTTTTTTCCATTGACAGATTGAATACAATTAACCTTCTGATATCTATGCAACTTAAAACAAGTATCCCATATTACCAATTATTTTGCAAAATAAAGCAATACCAAACTATCCAATCATTTTCTTACTTGTGGAGCTGCCTCCCTTCTCAGCAGCAGCTCCAAGGAAGAAATAATCATCCACTTTTCCACATGAGCACCTGTGTGGAAGGAGGCAGCAACAGGGGAAGAGGAATGGAGAATACACCAGCTTCCAAAACAGGCTCTGAGTAAATGGAGGAAGTTAGGAAGCACTGCTTCAGAGGAGGCATGGTACTGAGGGCCATGAAGCAAAGCCCGTGAAAACTCTGGACACCAGCAGAAAATAAAAACAAAGACAGACACACACACACAAACACACACACACACTTAAGTTCTTCATAATTAAAATATACAAATTAAGAATTAATGTTGGTGAAATTCCTGATGATTTAAAATTAAAATTAATGGTATTCAGATACAGGAGAATTTTTTGCCATCTCAAACATTCTTTTTTTATGTTAATATTTTACTTAAACCAGTACAAGCACCATGCTTATAAAAGACTGTCCAAAATAAACATGTAATATGAACTAGCAGAGACAGAAACTATAGCTTAAGGTGTTGTGCCAATTGTTGGTTTTGTTAAATGATGTCAGGTAACTGTTAAAATTCACCAGACTAAACCATTAATTTTTCAAGCCTCCTGAATTATATTAGAATCTAAGTCAGTGGGAATGATTAGATGCCCTGGCAGGTTCAAGTAATTACATGTGTATGAATTATATTACTAAAAGCATGAAAATACAGTTTCCATGACAAGTTTACTGTAGTTGTTTTAATTATTATAGGAATATGATTACTGATTGGAAATGTCAAATGGCATAAAAACAAATCTCTTAAGAACATTCAATTTGGGACCATTGGCTTTAAGTGGCCTACAATATTATTTATCATATTCTTCAGAAATACAAAATAAAATGTGTCCAGAAATGTTTGAAATATACCTCACCTAAGTTATAAAGGCTAAAATTCTATAGATTCTAGTTATTATTAGTCTAATGAACAAATGGAGAAAGAAACCATACTAAGAATACTTGAATTTTTTTTTTTTTTTGAGACAGAGTCTCACTCTGTTGCCCAAGCTAGAGTGCCATGGTGTCAGCCTCGCTCACAGCAACCTCAAATTCCTGGGCTCAAGCGATCCTCCTTCCTCAGCCTTCCGAGGAACTGGGGCTATAGGCATGAGCCACCACGCCTGGCTAATTTTTTTTCTATATATATTTTTAGTTGGCCAATTAATTTATTTCTATTTTTAGTAGAGACGGGGTCTCGCTCTTGCTAAGGCTGGTTTCGAACTCCTTACCTTGAGCAATCCAACTGCCTCAGCCTCCCAGAGTGCTAGGATTACAGGTGTAAGCCACCGCACCCAGCCAACAATACTTGAATTGATATAAATTACTACTCTACTACTCACCAAATATCAGCATTTAAACTTCTGTGAAAATATCTACTTGTCACTAGTCCACATATGGATTAATGACATCACTTGGGTTTTAAAAGTAGTCTAAACATTTTTAAGTATACACCTTCCTTAATATCTGCATGGAGGAGATCAAACATTTTTAAGTATCATGAGAAAATAGAAAATTGTTTATGAACTTGGGCAATAGCAAGATCCGTCTCTATAAAAAATAAAAATATTAGCCATGTACATACACCTGCAGTCCCAGCTACTAGGGAGGCTGAGACAGAAGAATCACTCTCAGCCCCACGAGTTTGAGGTTACAGTGAGCTATGATGACACCACTGCACTCTAGCACGGACAACAAAGTGAGATCCTGTCTAAAAAAAGATAAAAGGAAAAAAAAAAAGAAACTATTTATGTACCGTAATGCATTATAAGCATATAAAGATTGTTGCAAAGGGACTGTAAGAGCAATACAGAAATAGACAATAAAAACAAGAGTAAATATATTACTATCACATGACAAAAATGACACAACATAGATTTATCAACACGGCAACTATAATAATTGCCATAGTCAACCTTTATTTTCATTGTCATCAAATTCTGAAGTCATGTTTCCCTTTTCCATTAGATAAAAAAGTAAATTGAAGAGGAAAAAAAAACATAGTACACCTTTCATCAGTCTCTCACCTTTAATTTCTTTTAGAAATAATCTCTGGAGAACAACTTCTATTTTCCCTACCTCCTTTCTCAACTCCCCACCTCCTTTCCCAAATTCCAATTTCATAATTGAAGATATAAAAATTACATTCGTCACCATTCATACCTCAATGATTACAGACGCTATCGGCTGGAAAGGATTCATTGGTTCTGGGTCCAACTCAGCCATATCACTGGTTCCATCGAGTTCAGCCTGCTCTTCTCTTTGTTTTCTATTGTTTGAGGAAAAAAATTGAAATTCCTTTAGACAAAATGTTTAGCCATGTTTAAGAAAATTTGCAATAGGTTTCAGAGTATTAAACTTAGTAATTTAAACATGTAGACATGGCTTTTAATTACTGAGAATATTTCAAAATCTTTATGTAGGAAATATGCATCTGGCCCCATGTAAGATTAATCGTTTGAATTTTTTTAAAAAGAAATGCTGACAAAAATGATGACTTCTTAATGTCAATGGTGAAAATTAATTATTTTTCCATGTGCCATGGGTGTCTATTGATCAATTTATTAATTACCCTCTAAATATCAAAGCTGCCCTCTTTACTAGTGTTAACAAATAAAGAAATCCTCTTATTAACACTGTTCTTAAGGGATATGTCTTCTCTTGTAAAATAAAACCGGGAAAACATTCTTTTAACTCAACCTAGGATTTTATTTCTACACAAACATGTTTCTTGTTTATTATACAGAAATAAAAAAGCTGGACATCTATAGATTGATTCTTTAGAAGTATATGATCAATAATAATATAAAATCATATATTTTATCAAGTTGTGCATCATATTTGAACAACATACTGTTGCTTTGCATAATAGTATAAGAGCCTATAAAAATAAGTTTGCCATGTATCATTCAGATTAAATAATTTCATATTAGTTACCACTGAAACATTTATTATCTCTGTGATTTATAGTTAATGTTCTCCCATACATGAAGAGTAGTAAGTTACTAAACCAAGCCACCAAAGACAGAAAAATGAGTACTGTGGATCTATAATTAGATTATAAGTATAGTACAGCAACATGGATGTTCACTGCCATGACATCAATTAACTGTGTTCTAGATGGACATATATATTCTTTTATTTTGAACCTAGGAAGCCAAGATTTGGAGATTTACAAATCTTTGGACCTGTATCTTGGAGCCTCTACTTTCCCACAGATGTAGATAAAAATAACCACTTCATAGAATTATCCCAAGGATCAGAAAAGTAATACATGTGAGAACACTCTGTAAATGAACCTACTCATAGGACAGTCATTGTTATTATTGTTACTCATTTATTAGTAAGCAATTTCGGGTATATAGTATTAATATACTATTTTCACACAGCATATGTTATACTGTTTTTCAAAAACATTGGAAATGACTATCTGAACCAATCAGATTTAGTAAAGTAAAAAGGTTGTTTTTAATCACTCTTCTCTGAATATCAATTTACTTTTTTTTATATTTTTTTTATTTTAGCGTATTATGGGGGTACAAGTGTTAAGGTTACGTATATTCCAATTTACTTTTAATTACAGAATGTCAGCTCAACAGGAGAAGTCTCAGACTACAAATAGGATGGCTAAGGAGAAAGAAAAGGGGAATGAGTATTGGAAAAGCTTGCCATACATGAACTAGAATATCATTATGGAAAACACAAAAACTAAAAACATTACTACCATTAAATTTCTTTTATCTAACTCATTTTTTGTTGTTGCTTTTTTGTTTAATAGAAAAAAGCAAAGGAGTTTTCAGGAAAGTGTGGCCATATATTTAATTTTTATAAATATATAACAAGTATACTTACATGAATAATTGGTTATACTGAGCTTTTACTTTAAAAATCATGAAAATACACACTAGGATTGAAAACCAAAGACTCTCCAAAACCTCATATTGGCAGACGCCAAAAATACTCACCCCTTTCTTTCTTCGATATCAAGACATGCTTTGAAAGACATGCTACCATCATATTGGTATTATATTTGATATTGATATTAATTTCCATTAATATTGGAAATTATTACTGCATAAGAGTAAATTTAATTACTATAATACCAGCAAGAAAATTAGAAATCTATCACCTAAACTTGCATAGAGAAAGATCCATAGAAATAGAAAATTTACTGGTGTCTTCCTTCATTCAGAAAGAGGAAACTAAATAGACAAAACTAGCAAATCATTCATAAAATTATCCTGTTTTTGACTCTTCAAATTCACCGTGGTACAAAATTAATCTACTTACCTTTCTTCTTGTAATTTTCGCACTCGTTCAGCCCTTTCGCGTTTCTCTTGTTCCTCAAGAGCACGCTGCTCTGTTGTATCTTTTTGGATACGTTCATTTAAGGCCTCAAAGTCTCTTGCAATAATATGTAGCAGCCAATAAAGGCCCTTTTTAATGGACTTGTCAATTTTCTTTCCATATCCCAAGACTGCTGAACAAGGTTCCTAAAACAGAAATTTATTTGACTTAAAGATTAAAAGTTCTCCACACAAATCTATCCAAAAACCATTCAGTATAATTACTAGCAAATCAAAATTAAGCTATTTAAAGTAATGATATGGAGCATCTGCTTATTTAACTTATAAAACATACCTTTGCAATGATCACCAACATCAGTACATTAGAATGGAAATATTTTACAAATATCTGTAAGCTACTAGAGACATTTTCACAAAAGAAGTTGACACTGCTAGTTATAATTTTAAACAAGCTTATTGAAAGACACAATTGAACTGCTATAAGTAAAATATCCCAGAAGTTTTAATTCCTTATATTAAAATTTACTGCAGTAAACATTCATAAGACTGACAGCCTAATGATCATTTTATGGAACTAGAATAAATGATTAAGTCTCTTGTCCATCTTCCTTAAGACTGTGTGACTTCCCCTTTCTATAATAGTAAAAGTCGATATTTAACATTTATTTATTATTAAAACATTTAGAAGGTATGAACTTGTGAAAAGAAAGTGGTTGGCTTGGGGATCAGAGGAAACTGAATGGAAGCTGATGGTTGGAAATGGTGGAAATTGGAAAGATACAAGTAGGTGTTTTTAGAGGGTTAATAAAATGGCTTATTTTATTAAATAAAACACTAAGCATGACCTGGAAAAAAAAAAAAAAGACTGTGTGACAACTCTCCTGATATGATTTTTCAAAACTCATGATAAATATCTACTAATTATACTTTTCCATTTACAAAGTTCATACCATGATGTGTGGGTATAGCTATAGATTCCATCAGGCAATATCTTAAACAAAAAACAAATGTGAAAATCTTTGAAACCATAGAAGGATAGTTTATGAAAGTCAGTAACAATCAAAGAGAAAATAAGTATTAAGGTATTAAGTCATATCAACAGAACAATGACAGTGTGATTTCCTGGGTGAAGAAAAAAAAATTCTTTGAAAGATTGCTTTCTAACTGCTATTACCTTTATAAAAACTAGGTTTCACTGAACCTATCTCAAAGCACAGAAAAAAAATAAAACTTACTATCTGACATAGGCACTTGTGCTCATTGACCAATTTTTCCAGAGACAGACATTCAATCACATCAGCTTCTCCTAAAGCCCCTTCTTTGTCTTGTTTATTTGCTAACCTAGAAAGACAAATGAAGTAATTTTAGAGCAAATATATAAGATTAGATATATATGGCAACTTAAAGATATTTTGACATTCTTCTATTCCTAAGTTTTAAATCTACTGATTATAGAACACACTGGTTTTAAAAACTATTGTAGTATCAATTTCATCATTTTCCTTTATTTATTATAGCTAAAATAAAATTGGTCCATAAAAGGGAAATCAGATAAAGAGAAATATCAAGAAAGCATAAACAATAGATCAATAGGCCAACAAAAAAGCTACCAAACAGGAAAAAAAGTGGACTGTTTTCCACAACTCATAGCCATAAATTATGTCTTTATCTTCTTAAAATACAAACTGTATCATTTTTTAAATGCTCAAATATTTATGCTGAGCTTGTAATATTTGAGCTTATCTACATTTCTAATGTGTGAATGTGCCCATGTAAATGTGCAATTTACTGAAGACACCAGACCACATCTTATTTATTTGATAAAGCAACTGGGCATAAGAAGAGAATAGAAGAAAGAGAGAGGAGGAGGGAGGGGAGGAGGGGAGGGAGGGAGGGAGGAGGGGAGGGGAGGAGGGAGGGAGGGAGGGGAGGAGGGGGAGGGGGAGGGGAGGGAGGAAGGGAAGGAGAAGGAAGGAAGGAAGGAGGAAGGAAGAAGGAGGAAGGAAGGAAGGAAGGAAGAAGAAGGAAGGAAGGAGAAAGAAGAAAGAAAGAAAAGAAAGAAAGAAAGAAAGAAAGAAAGAAAGAAAGAAAGAAATACACTCAATTACGGACAAACCAGAGATCAAAAAAAGAAAAACCAAAATACGTTCTAAAGAAAAACAGGAATTATCACAATATGCCACTATTTGCCTATCACATGGTATAGGTCAAAAAGTTTAATAAAACAATGTCTTGGCCAAGGTTTGATAGACTCTAGGAAAAAATATGTATTTTTAAATATATATTAATATATAAAATATATAATATATAAAATATATATTTGTACATATATACAAAATAATAAATGTAATGAACCTTATCACTTTTCTTTAAAAATTATCAACACTGTGTCATTCTTGCTCATCCACATACCTTCTACTTTTCCCCTAGTCATATTACTTCACCTGAATGTTTATAAACATTACTATAATACCACAATTACACCTTACAAAATTAACAGTAAGTCCTCAATATTACTCAAGTCACTCAATATTCCCCAACATCACTTTGCAAGTATTATGTTCAAATTCAAACCAGATATACATTCATATAATTTATTACTTACCTCTTTTTGAAACTGTATTACTACCCTTCCCACCTCAACGCCACCATCCCTTTTCCTCCCATGACTTTAATTTGCAAAATAAAATAGTCATTTTTTTCTTTAGAATTTCCCATGTTTGGGATTTGGCTGATATCTTCCTCATGAGCTCATTTAACATACATATCCTGTATTTCCTATACCTGGTAGTTAGATATAGAGGCTAGATGAATTTCAGATTGAAATCTTTTGACAAGTGTATTTCATAGGTGGTACTGGTACTTAGGAGGTATATAATATCACTTTTATATCATATTCTATTTTAGTGATATTAAAATTGATCAGTGGATTTAGTTAGAGTCAGCCTGATCCATCCAAAATAAAGTTCCTCATTAACCTTTTGCCTAATGGTTTTAGCAGTAATTGAAGACCTTTGCTTAATTCCATTATTTTATAAGAGTTTATGAAACAGTGCCTTTTTCCACTTCTGTATTTCTTCTGCATTTACTAGCAAGATTTTTGCTAAAAAATATACTTTTATCAATTACTTGATAACTCTTACAATGTATAGAGAAAAGTCAAGATAAATATTTGATCCTTTATCTTTATTTCCTAATTTTCGTAATGAATTGGTGTTCTAGCAACCTCCAAAGGTGATCAAATTGCTTTGTTTTTTCATTTTGTCTTATTTTGGGGGTATCATTATGAACTCATGGATTTAAAAAATATATTTGATGTGTTTCAATTTATTGCAGTTGTTCTTTTTGAGGCTCAAAGAACAGGAATCCCCTTCAGATGGGTACCTAGGTCATTCTGGTACAATTCCAACAGTCTTTGATAGCTTCTTTGCTTTCTACTATGAAACAAGGTTCCAGACCTAGAATCATTCATTTCCCTAAGAAGCCCTGGTCCTTTCAGAGGGAAATTGTATTTTTAAAGACCATAATCTGGTCATTATGGATATACATTGCTATTGACTTGCCACTGCTGCAAGATCTTTTCAGTGTACAAAGCTAGGAAATAGGTTTTTTTTGTAAAAAAAAAAAAAAGAAAGAAAAACTTAAATCATGAGTTCATATTGATTTTTACATTTCAAATCAAATATTACCAAGTTTTTACTGAGCTTCTTAGATTTTTCTTTTTTTCTTTTTTTTTTTTTTTGTAACAGGGCTAGAATGCAGTGGTGTCATCATAGCTCACTGTAACCTCAAACTCCTAGGCTCAAGCAATCCCCCTGTCTCCACCTCCCGAGTAACTGGAACTACAGGCTCGTGCCACCACACCCAGCTAACTTTTTTACAAGGTCTCAATATATTGCTCAGCTGATCTCTTAAACTCCTGGGATCAAGCGCTTCGGTATTCCAAGGTGCTAGAATTACAGGCATGAGTCACTGCGCCCTGCCTTAAATCTTATTTGTATTTCTTATTAGTTATGATGAAAGTTATAGCTCCTTATGGCATTAACTATTTGCTTTATCCAACTATATACAGTAGTTTCAACAAATATGTTTCAACATATTTATTCCTAAATATGTTTATTTCATATTTAAGTATTTGACATTAATTTAATTTTTTTTTTACATATTTATTCCTAAATATAAGACTGCTAAATTCAAGTTAAGATCTCTTTGTGGTTATTTTTGTCCTGAGATATATTCTACTAGACATGCACAATTGAAATATTGAGTTTTAAAATGAATTGAAATAATACTTTTCCATATGGTTATGTCACCACCAAGATCTATAGCTAGGTTCATTTGTTTCTAGGTGCTTTTGCTTTTTAGAGATAGTTTATTTTTTAATTTCTAAAATAGTTGTATGGTTCCAAATTCAAAACTATAAAAAAGATACAATCAGAAAGAACTATTTGCCTTCTCTGCCCCCTTTCTTGTCCCTATTCCTTCCCTTGTCCTATAGATAACCACTTTCATTAGTGTTTAGTTCATCCTCCAATTATTTCTTTTTGAAAATATAAACAAGTGTATGGGGAAAATGGCATTTTAAAGACTACAATTTGGGTACTAAGGATATTCACTGCTATTGACTGGTTTATGTATGTGTATATATATATATATATATATACACATATATATATATATAGTATTTATATCCACCTTCCTTTTCTTCCTCAAAGCTAGCATACTATATACTCTTCTGTACTATCCTTTTTTAAACTGAATAGTAAATCCTGAAATTATACTGAAGCAGTATAAAGAAATCTTCTTTATTATTTCCTAAAGTTGCAAAATACTCCACTGTATGGATATTCCATCATTTACTCAGTCAGTTCTACATTGAAGGACTTTTGTGCTTCCAGTGTTTTATTTTTACAAAAGATTGCTGTGAAGAATAAGTGTGTAAAGGAGTCATTTTTTATTTTGGGAACAGATTCCGGGAACTGGAACTAATAAATCAAAGAATAAACATAAATGTTATTTTGACAGATACTATAGCAAAGTCTTTCCTCTTGTCCTCAAATAATAACCACATAGAAAAAAAGGAAGTGATCTGGAATTTGGTAGTATGAGAGAATTTGGTAGTATGAGTATGGTAGTATGAGAGAAATTTTCATTTCTAATTTTTCCTATAAACATTTCCCTCTGCTAAAAAATAATTTTGAATATTATATTGATATGATAAATAGATGGTTTAACATATTGCTGTACAACTTTAGTTCTATACAGAAAAACATGGAAAAATTATTTTAAAATAAAATTAGCAGGTGTAGTAAAAAGAAAATAGGGTGGAAGATTTACATGAACTCAGCCAACACAGCGGCTCACACCTGTAATCCTAGCACTCTGGAAGGCCGAGGTGAGAAGACTGCTTAAGGCCAGTAGTTTGAGACCAGACTGAGCAAAACCTAGCGAGACCCACTCTCTACAAAAAATACAAAAATTAGCCAGGTGTAAAGGAATGCGCCTGTAGTCCCAGCTAGCCAGGGTGACAAAGCAAGACTCTGTCTTTCCCCGCCCCCCCCCAAAAAAAACACAAAGAACAAAAAAAAAGGGGGACATGAGCTCTTTTCTGATTGTTCTACTTCTGAAATTCTATGATTTTATGAGCTAAGCTCTTATGGGATTTCCTAAAATAGGACAAAATTCAATCATTTTAAAGAAAATGGAACAAAAAGCTTCTGTACCAAGCTTCTTTCCATTCCAATTTATTCTTATTTAATTCTGTATTTTTAGCAAGCTTTGGTATCTATAGAAAAGAAAGTAACCTTCATTTAAATACAAACCCATTTTTTTTTTGAGTAATGTATTTTATATATAATGTAGGACTAAATTTGCAGAGCTTGTGCCAAATACTCTATGTAGGCAGTTTAACAATGACTTCCTGTTACCAACTAGCTCCAATGAAAATGATCTTCCTTTAATCTAAAGAACAGGTGTATAACAGGCAGAACCGGATTCTCCAGGTGTGAAGTAAGCAATCTGTTCTCATTTGCTATTAACAGCAAAAGCACAACTTTATCTCTTAACTTATTTGATTCCATTATTTGGCTTTCAATTAACAATATGAAAGCCACACAGAAATTAGTCTGTGACCTATAAGATAGAGATTTAAGTAATTTGATGAAAACATTACATGAGATGATATTCAGATTTTCTCTCAAGGCAGGACTCCAACACCGCAGGTGGAAAACCAACAAAAGGAACAAGACAGAAAGGTACTGTCTTTTTGTATTTTTTAATGTGATATATCCATAGACTGGAATCTGGTTATAGTGTACATTTAAAAATAGCTCAACAGAATAATGAAAGTTTCTTGTTTTGCTCAGATTTGGACAGGGCTATAGGCAACTGATTTGTTCATATATACTACTTATATACTGACTGGGATTTGGGTGTAAAACTCTTGAAAATAGACCACTACCACAAAAATCAACTTTAGGGGAAAGACATTTTTTTTAAGTTCTTTAAAAAATAATTTCTCATTTTGTTAACACTAGAAAGTCAGATCCTATGAAAACAAACCTAAAATTCTTCCTTTTATAGACAGACTATAAATTAACCATACTGTGCTTACTTTAAACACTTTTACATTTAACTCTGAAAAGAAGCTTACACCCAAATTTGGCACCTATGTAAAACCTTTAAAGTTGAGATAATTTTCTATATGGTCTTAACTAGCTGCTTCATTGTTATTTCCCAGAATCTTCTCAAATTGGTTTGAGGAAATTAGAAAATAATTTTGTTGTAAAAGGATTAGTCAGTCATCTTTTTCTGTATGTTAAAATATCAAAATACTCAGTGATTGTTTTAATGTTTCAGCCAATATGTTAAAAAAATTTTAATTATATAATTTAACATAAACATTACATTGATGTGATAGTTTGAAAAATGTAAGTCAGTATCACTTAATGCAACATATAGATAGGTCAGGTATTTTCCAAGTTGCCATGTTAGAATTTAACAAATATTCCATTTCAAAATAAAATAACAATAATTTTTATAAGTGTTTTAAAGGTGGATTTGAGAATTGGCCATGTAATACCTAGAACATATTATCTTCATGGCTATGTAGCATTAAATTTAATATAAAAATCATTTTATGTATGTACAGCTCATTTGAATAAATGAAAATTCAAAAATTACACGTCTTATATTTACAAAAAAAAGATCTTAAGTTAAACAAGTCAATTTAATACCTTCTTTACACTAAAAGTAGAAAAAAAAAAGCTTTGAAAGATTGCATTAAAAATGTTAGAGAATTCAAAATCAAATAATATATGCAACCTGTAATAATTTTTTAGTTTGTTTTAGAAGTTACTATTTTGCCCTTATTTATAGCCACAGAGGTTCATATTACATTAAGATCCTCTGTTTTTTACTTGAATTAGGGAAAGTTACAAGTTGACTTCACATATAAAAACAAAAGAATATTTTATGTTGGGTAAAACCTGGTTTTATTTATTGAAATCTTTTATTTAATCAACATAGTAACTATAAAAATGTAGCTTACTTAAAAAAAAAATCCATAAATACATGAAGTATCTAACCCAAGGCATATTTCTTAAAGCACTAGGTAATTTTCATTCATTTTTCCATTTCTAGGAATTTTCACTGTCTGTAGTAGGGTGAAGAATATTTGAGTCACACAAGTTTACTTTTCTATTTCCCAGAACAAACGTCAAAATTGATTATAATATGTACAAATGAGTGTTCTTTCTTTTTTCAAATATCATGTTTAAGCTCAAAAACATTGTCAGTTATTGCTAGTAAAATTCAAAACTGTATAGCAATCCTGGAAGCTAAATATACTTAAAGATGATTCATATTTGTATAAAACTCTCCTAACATTAAAAAAATAAATTTAAGGTACAGAAAAGGCTGCATAAAATAGTGACCTCATCAATTTCACCTAGCCTAAGCAATTTAATGATTTCACAAATATGAGCTTCACATTTTATGCCTACATGAACTCTGTCTCTTCCAACTTTTAAATACTAATATGCTTAGATGTCTCACTTTGCCTAATATTCTAATTTCTGAAGATATGAGATCAAGAAGTAATTGGAAAGTTACACATACAGTTATAAGCATGCAACTACTAGAAAATTCAATTTATATACAGCATATAAGTGCATCTGAGTAGCTACATTAAGTAAATTTCTGCACAGATGAACAAGGATTTGGAGGAACATTCTGAACTATGTTAACTCTGCAATGATAATCAACTATGACTACGATGCACATACACAGAAATGGCTCTCTCCTGCTCTAAATACACAGTAATGTATGATACAATATTAAATTTTAAAAAAACTTTTAAACTACATCATTCAATTTTAAAGTAAGAAAGTGAAATTTCAGGTGCCAGCAATGAAGAGGAAACAAAGTTACAGCCGAAGTGAAAAGAAGTAATTAAAACTGACTCCACTGGGCTACTAGAAGCAAATATTTTACCTTCTAAAGCTAAGATTTACAATTTGTGCATTATAAGGAACTAAAATTGAGTTTCCTAGATGAAGCAGTGAACCTAAGAAAAACTAAACAATCTGTACACAAAGATAGGAATATCTCTGTTGACTTGCCCAAAATTACAGAAGGAAGTGAGATATCTACTCAGACTATAAAAATCACTAGAGAAAAGTAAGACTTATATTTATACTACCTGGGCTACAACGGGCAAATTCCATGGGGCCCTAGTAGTAAGAACCACAAAAAAAGCCTCAGAATATATCCATAATTTAGCAGGGCACTCAGAAAATTTCTGTATAATACCCCAATAAAGATAAACTACTGATAAAGTTCACCAAATATACTTGTCCATCTCTAAGAGAGTGGCGCCAGTGAGTAGCTACAGAAAACAAAGGAATTTTATTCCTGAGAAACCAGAAATAGCCTAATAATGTAAACGATCTTTAATATAAATATACTCTAAATGTTCAAAAGAAATAAATGAAGATATAGGATCCATAAACCACAATGAACATTAGTATAAATTTTATATTTGACTCTAAACATTATTTATATCATACGCATGCCATGACATATAACTGTGAAAGGAAACCCTATTCTATTTCCATGTTTTTCCTTTAATATCAATAACATGTGGATATCTTAAAAAAAAAAAAGAGAATATTTATTTGGTTTTTTGCTGGTAATGTTATTAAGATTAATGAATACAAAATACATGTTAATATATTTTAAAGAGTTCCTTAAAGTATCTTTTATTCAAATATAAAAGTGCAGTAATCCTTAAGGGAAATGTTCTTCCAACGACAAAAAGACAACCTTTATAGGGATCAGAGTCAAACATCTTGGTTTCCCAAATCAGTTGCAGTAAAATTCACCTTCTCAGAGGCACTTTGCAAAGGTATACTGTATTTCAATATCAATTTAAAATATTCCATTTCTTTAAAAAATCTTTTTAAACTATGATGCTTCAATAAAAAACTTTTGGTGACATTGATAATTTATTTCTAATTTTTAAAATACAAAGATCTATCCAGTCATAAAAATGTTAGAAGGGGTTCTTTCAGGATTCATTCCAAATCACGCAACCAAAGAGAAGGTTCAAGATGTTGTAGTTCTTGAGAAATGTGACATTCAAAGATCGTTAAAAGCTACTTAACCATTATATAAACACAAGATAGGACTTAGTTCTCATGAATACAAAATTAAAATCTGTTTTGTCTAACAGTGGTCTCTCTCTCTCTCTTTCTCCCTTTGCTAAGTTTCTAACACTGTTACTCTTTCCTTTCCCCATAATATCAGGAGCACAAGTCAGTTAAAAAAAATAGTATATCTGGTTTAAACACTGTAGCTATTATGTACTGAGACTTAGGTAGTAGGCAGGCGTGGTGTTGTGTGCCTGTAGTTCCAGTTACTCCAGAGGCTGAGGCAGGAGGATCGAGAATCCCTTGAGCCCAGGAGTTTGAGATTGCTGAGGTAGGCTGACAGCACGGCACTCTAGCCCAGAGTAAGACTGTCTGGGGAAAAAAAAAAAAAAAAAAAAAAACCACAGTAGCTTTAAGAATTCATAGGGACAAGCTGCAAGAGTAGGAAATTCAAATCTATGTACCTAAATAGGAATGAAGTGCACTTCACTTCCCATCTATCCTATTTCAGATTATAACTATGACCTGAAGCAGAAGAAAATATCAGAATCCCAATCACCAGATGGTGCCAAGGATAGGATTCAAAATGTCTTAGAAACTGTCTGTGACATAGGTCTGTGAGATCCGAACTAATTCTTTTTCTTCTATATTATATAGTGATCAATTTGGTCTGATTATATTAAAGATCCTTATAAGGCTGTAAACAACAGAATTATTTTAGATCTGATATACTGTATTATCTCCTGCTAGAATCTTTTTGTCTTAAATACATGTTTATACTAACAACATAATACAACATTTGTTATAGATCAACTCCATTTGTAGTACATTTCACTAGGATAATCTATTTTTACTCACTACAGAATAGGGGAAAGAGAACAGATTTGCAATCAGGTAGACATATCTAAAGTAGGCTCTGTCACTTATAAGTTGAATGGCCTCTGGCAAGTCACTTTAAAATTCCCCTTATTTGGATGTAGGCTTTATTGGATTAAACTGTTCCTTTAATTTTCTTAGTATATGAAAAGTAAAGAAAATGGAGAAGATAAAGTTCTTTAAGAAATTATGCCAAAAAACAAAAACAAAACCACAAACCCCTAAATACCTAAATACTTGAGTTTCCAGAATGAAACGACTCACAAAATGTGTAGAAAATAAATGCAAAAGACTCATCCCGGGTCACATTATTGTAAAATTTCAGACCACCAGGAATAAAGAAAAAGGTCAAGAATTTCATCAAAGGAAATATAAAAATAGGTTTTATGCAAAATATCAGGAATCAGATGGCAGATTTCTCAAGGGCAACAAAGAAGACAGAACAGCAAAACTTTCAAAATTTTAAGGGAATAAAATTTCTTAGTGAATATTATATGCACAGGAAATATATTACTCAGGTATAAGGGTAGAATAAAAGCATTTTCAGAAATGCAAGTTTATTATCACATTTAACATTTTGAAAGGAAGCTATGTTATACTCCCAAATCAGAGAACAAACCAACAAAGAAGATGAGAAACCAAAATCAGGAGACAATATAAAAGAAAGGAGAAAAAACAATTCCAACACAACCAGGTCACATTGGCAGGTTCAAAGAAAGAAGCCTCAAAAGATGAAACAATAAAATAAAACAGAAATATATCCTATATCTAAACATGTCAAGAGGATATTTTCCTTGTTAGAATGAATTAGTGATGCATATGTACAAAATTAAGCAACTGAAAAACATTGATAATTAATCATTTCAAGAGAAATTTAAAAGTTACATGCTTTTTGATCTGTCTGGTATGGGTGGTAATTCTGCTTTCACAAAGTTGCCACATGAGAAGAAGTTTCCACATTTACTTCCCAATATTTTTAGGTGTCTTAAAATATCTGTACCAGGATAATCATCAAATATTTGACAAAATACTATATATATAAGAGTATGTACATAACTATTCAGCTCTAAGAAACAACGGTGATATAGCACATCTTATATTTTCCTGGTTAGAGCTGGAACCCATACTACTAAGTGAAGTATCCCAAGAATGGAAAAACAAGCACCACATGTACTCACCAGCAAACTGGTATTAACTGAGCAATAGGGTATTGGGCAGGGGGGAGGGGGAGGGGGGTGGGTATATACATACATAATGAGTGAGATATGCACCATCTGGGGGATGGTCATGCTGGAAACTCAGACTTGCGGGGGGAGGGAGGGAAAGGGCATTTATTGAAACCTCAAAATCTGTACCCCCATAATATAAAAAATAAATATATAATAAAAAAAAATAATAATAAAATAAAGGCCAAAAAACAACAACAAAAAAGAGTATGTACATAATACCAGCTTTATGTAATATATACATTCTAATAAATTTTTATTATATATAATGGAAAAAACACTGGTCCAGAAATCAGAAAGCTTGCCTTATCATACTAGTACTATAAACATGCTCACCATGACTCTGCATATGACATTTAACTTTTCTGATCCTCAGCTTCCCCATAAGAAAAATAAGAAATTGATTAGTTAACCTGTAAAGATTCCTTCTAGAATCGAATTAGAATATTCAATAGGAGTGATGGAGACCACCTTCATCTCTACCTTGAGAAACAGAGGAGGACTATATTTCACTGCTTTCAGTTTAATTAAGGAGTTGTAAAAAAAAAGGGGGGGGGGAGGTGGGTGGGATATGGCATCACATCAGTACCATAGCATTTTAATGCCTATGAGAGACTCTCTAGTACTTCTTTCTCCCTGCCATGGGAGCTTAAGTCTCCAAGTGACCAAGACAGAGACTAGAGCCCCTGCAAACCCATCATGAACATAAAATGTAAGCAAGAAATATATCTTTGTAGTTTTAAGCCAACAAAATTTGGGAATTGGTTAATATTGTGGCATAATTGACAATATCTTGACTAGAAAAACAGGAATGGACAGAATTTCTCATAAACCAAATATTTAAAACTCAAAAGAAATTCCAAGTTAAATTGTTTTAGAAAGCTAAAAAATTTTTCCAATTTATCTACTTTTAAATTTGAATTTTTAAATTAAGGATATTGGGTTAATTATAATTAAATATGATTAATTACAAATAACTTAGTAATTACATATAACTTACAAATTAACTTGTTTAGTATAGTTTGCAAAGAGAGAAAATATAAAAAACAATAATATCAAACTTTCCACGCATTTAATTTGTTATTCTAGTAATGAAATCTTTCCCAATTAAAACTGCTTTGTTTTTATTGTATTTTATTGTATTTTATTTTTTTATTGATTTTTAGAGACAGGATCTGTCACCCAGGCTGGAGTGCAGTCGTGCAATCAGCACCACAGCCTTGACCTTCCGGGCTGAAGTGATTCTCTTGCTTCAGCCTCCAGAGTAGCTGGAACTGCAGGCATACACCACCATGCCCAGCTGATTCTTAAAATTTTTAGTACAGACAGGTCTTGGTACATTGCCTGGGCTGCTCTCAAACTCCTGGGCTCAAGTGATCCTCATACCTCGGCCTCCCAAAATGCTGGAATTACACGTGTGGGCCACCATACCTGGCCTTGTTTCTATTTTAATAATGGACAAAAATAATATGCTTATATACTATTGCATATATTCCCTCTATTTTGCTTATTTCATAGTTGTATGGAAAAAGGCTAAGAAATATATTGCTAAAAGATTTGCCTAACATTGATCAATAACTACCATTTTATATTGATTTACAACTTTCCTAACACCCAAAGTTGACAGTTCTATCTATAGTACCTTCTGATATTCCTCCTTGACTAATATTTCTTTCACAGGTTTTCTACATGTAGTATCATTCATAGTGTACTGTTTTCCCTTCAGATCTTAGAAAACCACTGGCTTTGGTTAGTGCTACTCTGAAGGCAGAATAGAGAGAATGAAAGGTGAGCAGGGAGTGGAAAATGGAATCCCTTTCCAGCTTAGAAGTCTTTCTTTCTCTCTCTCTTTTTTTTTAACAGAGACAAACAAGGTCTTGCTCTGTCGCCCAGGCTGGAGTGCAGTGGCTTAGTCAAAACTCACTGCAGGCTGGCACAGTGGCTCACACCTGTAATCCTAGCACTCTGGGAGGCCGAGGCAGGCAGATTGCTCGAGGTCAGGAGTTTGAAACCAGCCTGAGCAAGAGCGAGGACCCCGCTCTACTATAATAGAAGAAATTAATTGGCCAACTAATATATATAGAAAAAATGAGCCGGGCATGGTGGCGCATGCCTGTAGTCCCAGCTACTCAGGAGGCTGAGGCAGAAGGATCACTTGAGCCCAGGAGTTTGAGGTCACTGTGAGCTAGGCTGATGCCATGGCACTCACTCTAGCCTGGGCGACAAAGCGAGACTCTGTCTCAAAAAAAAAAAAAACCAAAAAAAATTCACTGCAGCTAGGAACTCCCAGGCTCATGGGATTTTCCTGCCTAAGCCTCCCTAAGAATATAGACATGTGCCACCGCACCTAGCTATTTTTTTTGGTAGCAATGAGGTCTCACTGTGTTGCCCAGGCTGGTCTTGAACCCCTGACCTTAAGTGATCCTCCTGACTCCCAAAACACAAGGATTACAGACATGAGCCAACACCCCAAATTAGAGCTTATAAGGCTCTTATTTGCTTAAATTGCATTGATTGGATTTTTTTCACTCTCATTACAGCAAATCAGTAAGAACAAAAAGACTACCAGCTATTTGAATTAAATATTTCACATATGTAAACTAAATAGAACAGTATATTACAGGCAACAAAAACTTGCTCTTAAATTTGTTTCTAGCCAGTTCTTAAAATGCTCAATAATACATTTATACAGCAAATGTTTCTGCATAAACTGTCAATATCTATAAAAGGTTTTTCTGTCAAAAACAGATTTCAAGGCGGGGCGCAGTGGCTCACGCCTGTAATCCTAGCTCTTGGAGGCGGGGGCGATTGCTCAAGGTCAGGAGTTCAAACCAGCCTGAGCAAGAGCGAGACCCGTCTCTACTATAAATAGAAAGAAATTAATTGGCCAACTGATATATATAGAAAAAAAAATGCCGGCATGGTGGCTCATGCTGTAGTCCCAGCTATCGGGAGGCTGAGGCAGAAGATCGCTCGGAGCCCAGGATTTGAGGTTGCTGTGAGCTAGGCTGACGCCACGGCACTCACTCTAGCCTGGACAACAAAGCGAGACTCTGTCTCAAAAAAAAAAAAAAAACAGATTTCAAGGTCTTATCCCTTGTGATATGGCTCCTTTCCCAACCATTTCACTGACCTAATTGACTCTTTTCAGAACTTACCCTAGATGATCTCTCTGTAGCATCTGACACCACTGAAAAAGCTCTATAGCACAGTAAAGAGGTGAATCCTTCAAACCAGACTGCCAGAATTTGAATCCCAACTCTACCCCTAGCTAACATCTTGGTTAAATTACTTAAACTTCGATCTTAATTTCATTATCTATAAAATAGAGATCATGACAGTACTTAATTCAAAGTTCTCACCAGAATAAACAACAGGCTTAGAATAGTGCCTGGTACATATTAAGAGCTCAAGTAAATATACGATACCAAGAACTCAATATGAGAACTCAAGTAAATATGAGACTCACCAAGGTGCCGATAATATCAGAATGAATAAAGACCCTTATCCTCATGAAGTTTATATTGAGAGGAGAAAGTAGACAGTATATTAAGATAACGTAAGAATATAGTATATTAAATAGTGAAAAATGCTAAGAAAAATAAAACTGGGAAAGGTCAGAGTTGAGAGAATTTCACACAGCCTCCCCACCCCCATACACACACAATTTGCTCTGAATAGCAAAGAGGTGGAGGAACGAATATCTTTCTTCGTCTATCTAGATATCACATCATACTATTATTTATAAAAGCATAATGATTATTCTGAGAGTTCTGACAGAAACTTTATAATTAACTAAAATCTCCAATACTTTCCTAAACACTGTTGTGAATCCAAGGGTCTTCCATTTTGTAGATGTGAATATGTTTGTCTATCATGTGACAGATAGTATCATGACAATAAAGAACTTATTTTGAGCAAAATCTCTATTACTGCTTTCTCAGCAACTGTCCTCAACTAAATGGCACTCATAGCAGCCCCACATTATGCAAAGTAATTTATAAATTACTTTACATTACTTTTCCTATTTCAATGATTTTTATGCAGAAATTCTTATTGGTTTTTCTAATTTTTTAACCTCTTTTTAGAAAACTAGGAGAAGTTTTGCTGGGAGATAGACAGCCACATAAAATCAACTGCTACTGTGGAAAAATACCGAGTTTGTCTCTATTCAAATATAACCATTTTTGTTTCTTAGAAGGAAAGGGAAGATGAAAGACCGACTTCAAGAACTAAAGCAGAGAACAAAGGAAATTGAACTTTCTAGAGAAAGTCACATGTCAACTACAGAAGAAGAACAAGGGGTGTTTCTGCAGCAAGCTGTTATTTATGAAAGAGAGCCTGTAGCTGAAAGACATCTACATGAAATCCAGAAACTACAGGAAAGTATTAACAACTTGGCAGATAATGTTCAAAAATTTGGGCAACAACAAAAAAGTCTGGTGGCTTCAATGAGAAGGTTTAGTCTACTTAAGAAAGAGTCTAGCATTACAAAGGAGATAAAAATCCAAGCAGAACACATTAACAGAAGTTTGGATGATTTAGTTAAAGAAGTTAAAAAGTCAGAGATTGAAAATGGTCCATCATCAGTGGTCACAAGGATACTTAAATCTCAGCATGCTGCAATGTTCCGACATTTTCAGCAAATCATGTTTATATACAACGACACCATAGCCGCAAAGCAAGAGAAGTGCAAGACATTTATCTTCCGTCAGCTTGAGGTTGCTGGAAAAGAGGTACCTGAAGAAGAAGTAAATGATATGCTTCATCAAGGAAAATGGGAAGTCTTTAATGAAAGCTTACTTACAGAAATCAATATCACTAAAGCACAACTTTCAGAGATTGAACAGAGACACAAGGAGCTTGTTAATTTAGAGAACCAAATAAAGGATTTAAGGGATCTTTTCATTCAGATATCTCTTTTAGTAGAGGAACAAGGAGAAAGCATCAACAATATTGAAATGATAGTGAATAGTACAAAAGAATATGTTAACAATACTAAAGAAAAATTTGGACTAGCTGTAAAATATAAGAAAAGAAATCCTTGCAGAGTATTGTGTTGTTGCTGTTGTCCATGCTGTGGCTCAAAATAAAGAAGCTATTTTAGAAATTTTTCCATCCATCTTTAGAGTGAAGGATGTCCCATATTTCAGTGTCTTATATTATTTTTCTTCAATTCATGGATCCATTCACATATCTTTCATCACTATTAATTAGCAATATTTCCCTTTAACTCTAGTGCACTAGAATTACAGAAATTTCTGAAGCCAGTTACATAAAACAAGTCTTTATTTAAACTGGAAACAGTACAGTTCAAGTCACAGGTGAACTATTGAAAATGAAATGAATGATCTTACGTTTCTGGTGAAGTATTAAGCTCTATTAAGCATTTTTCTAACTTCCAACACTTTAACAATATGAATGTTCAATTAAGTGATTACTACATAAGCAATCCATATGACTCATTTGAGAATATTTTGGTAGTTAAGAATAATGTAAAATAAGCCCTCAAAGGATGCTACAATCAAGCAAAATAAAACTAGAACCTGTATCAAATCTTTTATCCTCAGGGAGGTAAGTTAACTCAGTGGTCAACAGATCCTGAGAAAACTCAATTGGTACTTGAAGAATCTGATTGATAACTAGGAGCTGAATCTAGCTTAAGGCATAAGAAAGTGAAGGGTTCTTCAATTTTTCTTCAATTCATGGACCCATTCACATATATTTATTATTCTCCTATTTATTATTTAAAGGTCTAACTTTAAAAAAGTATATTTCGCTCAATTTTTGATAATAGCATTAGGATAATCCATAGCCTAGTTAACTTCTCCTGTGCACTTATATTAAAGAATATGACTCAAAGAAACTTGCAAACTAACATTTTCCTATAACATTGTCTAGAAGAAGAGTCAAGTAAGTACATAAAGATTGAGACAAAAAAATCCCATGTTGAAAAATAACAAAAGCTTGGTAATTGTTTCTTCTGATCTGGAAACACACCAACAGAGTTTTTAACCTTTTGGGTCATAAACTCCTTGTGGAATTTGATGAGTGTTAGGATCTGCTCCAAAGAAAAATGCACATGCACTTGGAATTGTACACATGGGTCCTACAAAGACCCTGGGTCAAGAAACACTTTTTTTTTTTAATTGGAATGTTTATAACACCTAGTTAAGATCAAATCAGATATTATATTAATATTTTCTTCCCTGAATGAAGATATATATATATATATATCACTTTTGTTATAAGCATCAGTTTGTGAAGTTTGGCCAAAAGTTAAGTTAGATCATATAACTCCACAGAAAAGCAGATAGTATGTAATAAGAAAATGGCACCATTCCAGTAGCTCAAGTATGCTAACAGGAGTGGGACTGTTATTATCCTGGGAGGAAATTTTAGCCTGTGGGTCTCACAGTCATTCTGGTTAAAGGTATTAAGAGATTCAACTACAAAAAGGAGGGGTAATTTATTATCTCTCTGAGGCCAACTTTCAAGACTATACAGGTAATAGAGAGAAGAGGTATAGAAAGAGCATGTACCTTATTACAACTCCCGTGTAACCTTGGGATGCTGAAAATCTCAATAGTTTAAGATGTTTAAAATACCTCTCAGCTCAGTTTATTTCATAGGTAACCAATAAATAGTTCTTTTTATTATTAACGGAAAATTTCTATGATGGATGTTGAGCTTAAAATTTGAGATTACTGCTGATTTCAGTGCTATTTATACAACTGCCAACATTTTTTACTTTTTCTCTTGAAAAGGCCTTCTTTGTCAAGATTAGGTTGAAGTTTTGGGATCTTTTTAATTAAATTATAAACAGTTAAAACAAGAGTATGTGTGGGTAGGGGGCAGGTGAGGGTAGATAAAATAATTCATACCTTGGTTAATTCAGAATAGAGGCTAAAGTAATTTCTATAGTCATTCTGAGAAAAGGACTTTCTAGGTAAATAAGTTAACATGATTGCAAAGAATGTTTGTATGGCATTTATTTTTATCCTCTTTAGAAGGAATGCAAATTGCTTTTACCTTTTTATTTAAATTGGTTCTGGTTCATGTCACTATATACAGTGGAATACAAACAAAGTATTTCAATATTTTCCAACTACTTTTATTATAGAAGAGGCATTTAACCACTAAGTCCAAAGAAGTAAAGTGATTTGTCAGGGTCATAAACAAATTTACATTAGCTCTTACAATCCAGGTTCCAGACTCCAACTTCTCTCTAGACTAATAGTTTTTTAACTTTTTACCATTTATTTCAGAAGACTTTCATTAAAATATTATGCTGATTAATAAATGCTATATAACTGCAAAGAGAACTTCTGAGATAATAAAACAAAGAAACCTAGTAACATCCCGATTCTGATTTTTCAAGAAAAACCTCAAGTCTGTGACATCAAGTGAAATTTGGCCAAGGCATCATTTGCAGTCACACATGCTGTTAGTCTGCTGTGCTGTATCTCAGCCCCTAGAATGTAACTTCCTGAAGTCATCCATGTATTTTTGTTGTTTTTGTTCCCAAGTGCATCCCCATCACCAGAACAATGCCTGGCACACAGTATATGAGGTAGACTCAATAAATATGTGTTAAATGAATGAATGTATGAATGAGTAAATGCATGAAAAAGTAAACAAAAATAAACAAATGACTATTTGGTTAAAAACAAAGCATACACTATTACTTTACAAATGACCAAAAGTTATTAATATTTTGTTCTTTAGTCTAGAAATAGTTTTTACATTAGACTAAAGCTGATTTTCTGCTTAAACATCTGTAGAGACCAATTTACCCTATGGAGTTCCACAAAGTTCACTCTTCTTATATGTCTCTTAAAGCTTTCCTTCAGATTTAATAAAGGTGAGAACTGATTATATAAAACAAATATATAAATAAAATATATAAAATATATTTTTTATATTTTATATATTACAAATATATAAATAAAAAATAACTTCTTTAATTAATTAAACATATAAAAATTAAAAATTATAAGATTTACCAGTAAATGATACAATAAAGTTATAACTTTTATAATTAGAGCTTCTAAACTTCCTAGTAAATAAATGTTCACTTACTACTGAGAATCACTGAGAAACTCTACTTACAGGTTTTCATCTAACCACATGATAGGCTGATTTGTTTTTTACAATCTTTAATAATGAATCACAAGAACACGGGAAAAGGGAAAGGCTGCCAATGGCCAACATTTAATTTACTCCACGTTAAAGAGCAATTTAAACTCCTTTCACTTTACTATGTCTCACAGTTATAGCACCATCTGGTGTTTATTATGCATAATTACTACGAGAGCCAGTAACACAAAAGTCCTGTGTCACTTAAGTTTTAAAAAAATGTTCAGGCACTTGGACAAAACTATATAAGCATATGTCTAGATTGATAATACCACAGGTCATAGGTTCAATGTGAAAATTGTAAAATCAATGTGGTATTAAAAAATAAACCACTTAAATAAATTTCAAACAAGAATATTTTAAGAAAAAGGACAAAGGCAAAATATAAGTTATTAATATTGAGAGGAGAAAAAAATTGAAACCTATTTAGAATCTTGTTAATAGACTATTCCAAAATGCAAAAGTCAATAAAAAATAAATCATCAAATAAAACAAAGAGTTTATATTTGAATACCCAGGAGAGCGAAGTATAAGCTTGTTCATAAGATAGTCTTAACTTTTATCTCTATGGAAAGCATTATAACAAGGCCTCACTATATTAACAATTCCCAGTTAATTACATACATTTTATTCTACCAAGGTATGACTAATTTATCTTATTCAGTATTTCATAACAAGTAAATTTCTTCATTGGCCAATGCTTCTGCCCTAGAAGCTGTTGGTACAATGACACCAACATTACTTACACCAATACAGGCTTTCCTGATATTCTTGGATGTCTTAGAACTTCTGACATTGTCTCTTTTGTCTCTTCCATTCTCTCTTCATCACTGGAATCCACAACAAATATTACTCCATAGGATTCAGCATAGTAATTCTTCCAGATTCCCCGAATTCTTTTTCCTCCTCCCAAGTCAAAGATGGTAACTTCAAATTTTCCTTGTCTAAGGTCAATTTTGGAAAATCCAACAGTAGGAGCTACATCTTCAGGGTGCTCTGTTTCAAATGATACAAAAGAAACAATCTTTAGACTTCAAATTAACAACATTAATTTAACTTTACAACTTAAATGACACAAAAAGTGCTATTAGTCATACTTTAGCACAAAGTGGCATGCTTACTATTTGCTTAAGCAATAAACATTACATCCAAGCATACTGGTTTGGGAAGAAGCTAGATACTAGAAAATATCCAACTAGAATTTGCACTCCATGCAGATTGGAATTTCTTTTTGTTTTTCTGATATAACACCATTACCTAGCATATAATAGGTATTTAAAATGTATATGTTGAATAAATATATGAACGAACTCTTTTATGCCTACTCTCCAAGTTACAAACAATAAAAATATCAAGCCTTCAATACCAAAGTCATCCCCAGGGACTGCTAAATCTTCTGTGGAGTTATAAATAAAACCATAAACATTTAGAGAATAGAAGAAACAAAGAGTGAGAGAAGCTACAGAGTAAGGCCTCTCTTTTTAATTAGATGAATTAAAGCTATACTTGGAATAAAGAGTCTTTTGAGAGTAGCTTGCAAATAGAAAGTAGATTTCATCTTTTCTGTAGGATCATGTTTTGGATGTCCAAATAAATTTATAATTGAATTATTTTGGACTTGTATATATGACAACAAAAAGAAGGTACAGGATGCATATGATTATTACTCCTAAGGAGCGATAATGACAGTAAGAGATTAAAAAGATCCCTGAGAGTCATAAAACATTTCATAGGATAGATGGAACTTAGGCCTTAAAGCTAGGTAGGACTTAAACAGTCAAAGAGTGATCTAATACAGTAAAGGAAATGGCAAAGTCAAGGAACACAAACTAACTGAACGTTGTGGCTGTAACACATCCTTAAGATTAAGAATTCAGACTGAAGTCAGAATAAAGAAGGTTTTGAAGATAAAGAATGGAGAGCCACTGAAGGTAGTTGGCAGACCAATGATATAATTAAGGTGATTAAAGAAGTGTTTCATCTTGCAAAAGTGTCTAGCATGACTAGAAGTGAGAGTGATAACCACTTCAAAAAGAGGTATGAAAATTTTTAAAAAGGAATAGAAAAGACTCATGAAAGATTAATGGAATCTGCTGACTCAGTGGTTATAACGTTTAAGTTTCATGTTTGTTTTTTCCATTCTCTCTTCACTGGAGTCTACTGATAACTATTACCACACAAGACTATTTAAACTTCATGGTCAAAACAGTAGCTGCAAGCCACATGAAGCTTTCTAAATTTAAATAAATTAAAACAAAATTAAAAATTCAGTTTCTCAGTTGCATCAGCTACATTTCAAGTATTCAAAAACCACATGGCAAGTGGTCTACCCTATTGGAGAGAGCCAACACAGAATATTTCCATCAATGCAGAAAGTTCTATTGAACAACACTGGTTTAGAGGGTCTTATTCCCACATTTAGCAAAACAGTTTGCTATTACAAAGATTAACTTGAAAGGCAATTGCTAGGCTCAGGTGTGACTGAGAAACAGACTTGCCATACACCATTCTCTTTCTGTGAGCACCTTAGTGCCCTTTATGCAGTTCCAAAGAAAGTTAATAGAGCCATTACAAGTCACATTTTTGCTAACACATTCATTACTTAGAAAGAGAAAAAGGCAGCTAGACCTAATATAAGTAACGATTTTCCAGAAATAGGATTACACTAGACATTTAAAAATATAGATCTAGTCCTAGCCAGAACTGGTTTCCACAGATAAAATAGGCAGCTGTCTTTGAGTATGAATTGACAGGAGCCCCTAGGAAATCATCAGCAAAAACCAATCAATTATGCTGGAGTAGGAAAAAGGGTTACAGGTACTAAATGTCTACTTGGTACAAAGACTTTGTTAGGCATCAGGATGCAAAGATGAATAAGATATGGTTGCTGTCCTCAAAGAACATACAGTGCAACAGAGAGAGACATAATATTAATGGGAATAACACAGAATGTGTATATTCTGTAAAAAATACTGGAGAGGATAGTGTGAGGGAATTCAAGAGGAAGAGGGTAAAGAGAGAGAGGTGAGTTATGGTCTAGAAAAGCTTCAGATTAGAAGTGAATTGTGAGCGAAGTCTTAAAAGCCACATAAATATAGCAGTGATGAGAGAACAATATTTTAGACAGAGGAAGAAATGTAAGCACAGATAAATTTATAGCAATATTCCTAGTACACAAATTCAGCTTAAGGAATTTTTTTCAAAAATGGTAGGCAGAGCCAGCACCCTAATGAAGGTGTTTAGGACTTCAAAAGCCTGTTTCTTTTGATATATAAAACACTCTCTATTCTTTCCTCTGGTTCCTACATAGCATTTGTGTTTCAATACTTATGAATAAATGTTCAAGTACAACTTCTTCCATAATCCTTTTTCTGATGATTCTCTAGTAGAGCCCAATACTACAACAAACTGCTAAGATAGCTGAAATAGCTATCCACACATCCATTCATTCTTTTGTATTATACATCCTTTGTATTAAACATCCTTATACATCCTTTATATTAAACATCCTTCCATGTATTTATCCATCCTTATTTCTAATAATTTATTGAGGGCCTATTATAGATGAGGCATCATGCAAGAATCAGGGGCACAAAGATACATGGTCCCTAATCCTGAGAATTTTAGTAAAGGGCTGAGTATGGTGGTTTACACCTCTAATACTAGCATTTTGGGAGACTAAGGTGGGAGGATCACTTGAGCCCAGGAGTTCCAGACCAGCCTAAGCAACAGAGTGAGACCCCTGTCTGTATAAAAAATAGAAAAATTAGCTGGGTATGGTGGCATATGCCTATAGTCCCAGCTACTAGGGAGGCTAAGGCAGGCAGATCACTTGAGTCCAGAAGTTTGAGGTTATAGGGAGCTATAATGATATCATTAAAATCTAGCCCAGACAACAGAGTGAGACCTTGTCTAAAAAAAAAAAATCAGTAAAGTATATGTGGTAAGATACAATCTCTAGAAAGTCCAAGATAAAGTACAAATATATAATCAATAAATATTTTTGAGCATCTGTTATATGCTAAGTACTGTACAAGGTTTTAGAAATACAAAGATTAAGAAGATCCATCTTCTGATCTTATAGAGCTCTTAGTCTATTGGTGAAATATATATAAACAAATAAGTACAATATAATGAAGACATGGTAATATTCAATAATGCCAGGGACCAATCCACACAAAGTAGAATTTTCACACCCAAAATATCAATAGTTCCCTATTGGACAGTTATAGAATCCTAGATTTTTTAATCTAGGCACAAGCCTGTTTAGGATAGATTATAATCCCCAGCCTCTATGGCAACTACGGGTGGCCATGAGAAGAGGTTCTAGCTAGTGGTAAGGTGTTAAATATTTAATAACTGACTTAAAGGGTAGGGGGAACCTTAATATATAGTGTCTGTCAATTTCCATGGTATAAATACTTCCATCATGGCCAATTTCAAACTAGCAATATGAGGTACCTAGACATAGAATTAGGAAGAGATATGATATGCATCCTTGGCTCTTGCTAGTTGGTATGAGCCAAAATGAGGCAATATGTCTAGGTTCAGAACACCATTGTTTCTAGGCAATGGCATGTGAACTAAAGTATTGTGGCAGCTTCTAATTCATGGTCTTAAAGGAAAAAAGGATAGCCTCCCTTACCCTTTACCTCTTCCTTCCAGATGAAATGTACACGTTGTAATAAGTTACCTTAGAACATGTAAGTGAAGGAGGACACTAGGGATGGCAAAGCAAATAGAAGGAACTGAGTTCCTAACAGCATGGAGTTGCCATACTAGTTCTAGACTGTTCTCATCAAGCCTGTTATGAGGGAGACACAAACTTCTATTTTGCTGAATCACTATTATTTTAGGTCTCCATTAAAATAACTGAACCTATATGTACCTAATACATTCACTTTGACAGCTATGAAGAACAGAAGTTGACTTAACTGAAGTTCCGGGTAGGGGTGCTACTTTTAGGTTAAGAAGCTACTGTGACATTTTGGAAGAAAGACACTGAGGGTTTGGATTTAGGCAATGGCAATACAGTTAGAGAGGAAGTAGACATATCTCGAAAGAAACTAGCAAATATCAAAGGGGAAAAAAAAAAAAAGCCAAGAGGTAAAAGAACCCAAAATAAGTAGAAAAGCAGAAGCCACAGGAGATGTTTTAACAAGGCTGCATACTACACCTAAGGGGCATGGCCTACACAACTGGGACTTCAAAATGAGCAAAATTGTCCTTAGAGAATATACAGTCTGAAGAAGCGGAAAAATACACAAACAAAATACAATTAAGTAGTGACACAAGTAAGTATAGGTAAAGTAGGCCAAAAAAGAAGACATGGTCAATTCTATTGATCAGGATGGTAATGGCTGAGAGCAGAGGGAGATTAAAAAGGACTTTGTAAAAGAGAAGACTATAAGACAAAAATATGTCTTTAAAGATAAGTAGATATTCTCTCTAGTAAGTGGAAACAACACAAACAAAAATATAAAAGGCATGAGAGGCTTAATTTAGGAAAACTTCAAAATTAGAATTCTATATAACTGGAATCTTAAAAAAAATTCAAAGGAAGAAATCAGTCAGCCATTAGAGTAGGCTAAAAAGTAAATATAAAATAAAGAACAAAAGTAGAACAGAGGGGAGCTCAAAGTTGAAGGCAGCTTTGACTTTTGGTTTATGATGGGATATCTTAAGCATTTTTCTAGATTCAGAAAAAGGAACTGATGGATATACGGGGGTAGAACATAGAGGAGAAAGAACCTGACAGAAAGAAGATGTTCAAGTATGCACAACAAATTAGACATTCTGATTAGCAGATTCTTAGAAGCCTGCTCCCCTAGTAAGGCTTTGAAGGAACAGAAGAAGGGAAGAAGTTTAGATAAGGACTCAAGACTTTACCATTATCATTTGTCCGGTCATGCAGGTCAAATCTGATTTGCCACCTGTTTTTGTATGGACCACAAGCTAAAAATGTGTTTTATATCCTTAAATGATTGAAAATATGAATTTCAGTGTCCATAAATAAACTTTCACTGGAATATAGCCAGGTTCATTTACAAATTGTCTGCATATTTTCTATGTCTGCTTTCACAATACAATGTCAGATGTGTAGTTCAAAAAGAGACTGTGTGGCCCCAATGTCTAAAATATTCATTATCTGGCTCGTTACAGAAAAAGTTTGTTGACCTCTGGTTTAGATGATGACAGTAAGTGCTGCTCTCTGAAGATACAACCTAGAGGACAGCATGAGGGCTATCAATAAGGCTTTAGAGAACTCTATAAATAATAATATGTAATTTGCATCTAATGTTACATAATAGAAATTTGAGGTGACAAAATGTTTTTCCAACAGTTGAGTTTTGCAAGGTGTTAATAACTGATCCGTTGAGTATCTGATATGTATAATATATTGTAATCATCAGCCAACAAATACGTGTTAGGTGTTTTTTCCCAATTCGTACCCTTAAGATGCCCAACTGTTGATTTATCTTCACTGCTCAATAAACTCACTAGCATAGATACTGCTATATTATAATACAAAACATTGGATTAAGACTAACCAATTAAATACATCCAGTGAGATGTAATGATATGATATAAAGCCCTTTAGTGGTATAGAGGCCCTATCTTTAATATAACTATAAAAATTACATATATTGTGAAAAATCATCAAGAGATGCAAAGAGAACTATGTTGGCTAACTATTTCCACATTCCTTGAATCTAAGTATAGCCATGTGACTAAATTCTGGCCAAGAATATATGAGTAGAAATTGAGTATTCTTACAGGCAGGGGCATGTCATTCTTTTTTATTTTCCTTCCTGTAGTCTACAACACAGAAACAATACCTCCTAACTGATCAAAGACCTCAAGGAGCCTCTGCATCTCTGTACCTATTCCAATCTGAAACATGATAACATGTTGGTACCATTAAACTAAAACCTATTCACCATATCAGTCACAAGTATACTAAGAATAATGGAGTCCACACTATCTGTACCCAATTAATAAGTAATAAAGCAATTTAACACAAATAAGTAGATAATTCAGAATAACTTAATAGAGTTCAGAAAACATATGAATGTTTTCAGCTTACCTCCTTGGATTCCCTTTGCCGTTGCTGTTTTGCCAGCATTATCAAGTCCCACCATCACAAGTGTCACCTTTCTTAAAATAATAAAAATTTTAAAATCACTCTCTTTGTTAATTTAGTATTAGGGAAAATAAAAGCAAATTCATACATTCAATCAACATTTAAGGAGAACATACACTAAGTACAAGACAATCTGCTAGATGCTAGGAGAATACAATGATGAATAAAATATAGATTCAAAAGCAAAATTCATGAAAAATACCTTTAAAGTGTCATACTTTTGTTCTTTAAGTAAATAAAGTAAAACTGTACAATTGATAATCCAAGGGATAAAGAAGAAATAAGAGAAAGAAGGAAGAGTGAAAAGAAGGTAAGTAGACGGAGTCTAACCCTGAGTTATTTATGTCTACAAAATCAATTAATTTTCTAGTAAATTGAATTCTAGGAATTATCACAAATTATCACAGAATTATCACAGAATTATCTGTTTGTCTTATGAAAGTAGATAAGAAAAGAACTCTTGCTAGGTCGTAGGCTCAACTGTTTTTAGATATGCAGCACCTTACCAAATATAAATCACATATAATAAACAGGATTATTAATTTAGGTGCTAATGTTTTAAATTTACAATTATAAAGTTTAAAATATTTCTGACAATTTAGCTAAACTCCACAGAAACAAAAAATATATATATAATCCAGTTCAATTTTACAACTGAAGAAACATAAACCCAGATATATTAAATAATTTGTCAAAGGTCACATAATAAATCAGTTACACAGTCAGAACCAGAACCTAATTCATCTAATTCCTAAGAAATTCTTAAACCTGGAACAGGTATAAAGGAACAAACCTATTATATTGGTTCTATTTACTTGGTTATTCAGACCATCACTAAAGCTCGTTTCTGTTCCAGGCTGAACTTTTGCACAATGTATTATAAGAGGTGAGACAGTCCCATTACCACCACACATTTGGGAATGAGCACTGCCATGGGAATACAGAGAGAAAGCCACAGTTTAACACAGCCACCACGTTAAGACCACAGGATAAGGTCATACTTCTATGGGATACAGTCAGGGTTTCTGCCAAAGTACAGTCATTAGCAAATATCCCAACTTAGATGACAGTAAAGGGTGTTCTTTAATTTCTCCATGGCTGGCTCTCTTGGATTTGAATTAAAAAAAAAAAATTTCAGATGTATTCAAAGGGTTCATATAACAAAGAGAAAGGACAGAGGCGAGGGTATGAGGCAGTTCAGTTATGGACCGCAAGCTGAAGAACAACAAACTCATTCTTACAAAAGTGAAACTGGTAATTTATTAAACAAATAATCACTGACCATCTTCCATATGCCAGGCAATAGAGTTCTAGGTACTTGAGATACACCTGTTTATTAAAGCAATGATCATCACAATAAAACAAAAACAAAGAAACTCTTCCTTATTAAGCTTACATTTTAGTGGCAAGAGACTGACACTAATAAATAAGTCAAATATAACATAGTCTATTAGAAAGTGATTAAGTACTATAGAAAAAAACAGAGTAGAGCAGGGTGTAAAGGGGCCCAGCAGTGGAGGTGGAGGCAGTTTTATGTAGGGTTATCATGGGAGACCTCATTCGGAAGATAAATCTAATCAAGGCCTTGAAGGAGGGAGTTAATCATTCATATTTGGGGCATGAGAGAACAGCTGGTTCAAAGACAGCAAAGCAGGGACATGCAGAAAGGTCCAAGTATCAGCAAAGAGACCACTGTGATGAAACTGAGTAAGAAAGGGACAGAGTAGGAGGACAGGAGTTCACAGACACGTGATAGGCCACACCTTGTAAGGCCTTATAGGCCATAGTGAGGACTGTGACATTTACTGTGAGTAAAATGAATTTACTATCCACATTAATTTCCTTTGTTAACCAGGAGCCTTAGTCTTTTCTAAATGTTTCAACCAACCTGTACTCACCATCAGGAATAAATGTAAACTATTTATACTTGACTTAGTGTAAAAATAAGCAAAAGTGTGAAAAATCACAATAAGCAGCACTCCTAGGCCCCATTCCCAATCAGCCAGTGGTGAGGCTAGTATGAGTGCTAAAAAGATCCATGGCAGATTATGAATTTATGGAGATGAGTTAGTATGTAAGGTCAAGGTACCTCTATCCATGTGGAAATTTTACCTGCATTATCAACTTTGAAAAATATGAATTTTTGCTTTTTCCAGCGGCAGCTGAAAAAAAATATGAATTTACTTCCTAAGGAATCTGAGAGATATTTTGACTATAATTTTAATATTTTATTTGAAGAATTCATAATTATAAATTAAATAATTCATACAAGCATCAAATATCACAGTATAAAATAATTTCCTAAATAACATATAGCCAATGATCGTCTAGAAAAAAATGAATAATGTAGCATTTTAAATAAATATTTTAGATAATTCTAGTTACTAGATATACAATGAATTGGACTAAAGTAATCTTAATATTAAAACTAAAGTAACTGTTCTTTAATTATTTATTAATGCATTTCAAGATCTATAGTGCTTTCAGCATCACCATGAATCTAAGCAACTACTTTTAGGGGAAAAAAATATTTGTTTTCTGCTTCTTTACATCATTTATTCTATAAATATTAAGCACTCATTATACAGTAGCAAATAAACATCCAAAATTCTAAGCCCTCATAAACCTCAAAGCCTAGCAAGAAAACAGGCATTGGAGAGGGAGTTACAGCAATATGCGATCGCTGCCTATTATAAAGAAAAAGCAGCAGGCCAGGCATAGTGGCTCACGCCTGTAATCCTAGCACTCTGGAGGCTGAGGCAGGCAGATTGCTTGAGGTCAGGAGTTTGAAACCAGCCTGAGCGAGACCCTGTCTCTACCAAAAATAGAAAGAAATTAATTGACCAACTAAAAATATATATACAAAAAAAATTAGCCAGGCATAGTGGCATTTGCCTGTAGTCCTAGCTACTCAGGAGGCTGAGGCAGGAGGATTGCTTGAGCCCAGGAGTTCGAGGTTGCTGTGAGCTAGGCTAGGCTGATGCCACAGCACTCACTCTAGCCTGGGCAACAAAGTGAGACTCTGTCTCAAAAAAAAAAAAAAAAAAGCAGCAACAGCAGCAGCAGCAGTAGCCATAGCAATAGACAGCAAGAGAGCCCACTCTGAAAGTCAAAGACCACACTACCAATAAAAATCAACTGAGTCAGCAGTTCCAAGAAACATCATGAAAACTTTTCACATCCCCATATGGGCCAAAGTAAAAATTCCCTGATACAACTTTTTAAGGACAATGACCCTTATTCTTTATTACAGAAGTGGCATCTTATGTTTTCTCCATTCTTATCAATATTTTAGCTTTTTAAAAAATAAATTTCCAAATACTCTCTTATGCATTTTGAAATATTGCTCTTAAAGCTACTAAGGATGTTAACTTTTACGTTAAGAGCCTGCCTTTTCATCCTAGGCAACTGCAAGACCCCATCTCCACAAAAAATGTAAAAAGTAGCTGTGTGTGGCAGTGCACACCTGTATGTAGTCTTAGCTACTAGGAGGCTGAGGCAGGAGGATAGCTTAAGCCCAGGCGCTTCAGGCTACAGTGAGCTATGATTGAGCCACTGAATTCCAGCTAGGGCAGCAAAAGCCTGCCTTTTTTTAAATAGGCTATTAGGTTCAAACAAACCAAAAATCCTTCAAATATGAAAATTTATACTTTGGAAAATTAAAATAGTGCTGAGACTGGCAAAAAAAATAAGTCTATGTGTATTTCTATTTTCACTTTGATTACCCTTGCAACTAGTTAATTTTTAAGACTATACTATATCCTTGAAAAAATACTTTAATTAAATATTTTAATTAAAACTTTACTGAACAGATATAATATTAGCAATACAAATAAAAATCACAGCATGAATTACCACAATGCCTGATAACAAAACATTAAATTTATACTTTCAGAATAGAATGAGTTTAAAAGGTTAACATTCACCTAAAACTCAAAATTATATGCAAATATTTAAAGAATAAATATGTACAATCTATTTAACACATGTTAAAATGTATTTAAAATATGATAAACTATGGCTGGGAACAGTTTGGCTACAGTGCTATGTGACAACAGAAAGACGAAAGATTGCCCATGTCTTTTAGTCTTACAAGTATTGATCAAACATATTAGTCCTTCAAAATGAAAAAAAAAATTATATACAGTGCTCTTAGGTTTATAGTGTCTAGAAAAGTTGACACTAGAATAAAATCAATCAGTTAGTCATTTGGTCAAATGGTAATTCAATAAAAGCACATTAGGCATTATGGACACAAAAATACTTCAGACATGATTTCTATTCCAAAGTGTTCATCTTCTAGAGAGAGTACATAAAATAAAAATATTAATATACTGTAATATTATGACAATTTAAATGTTCATCTATATACTTAAGATGATAAAGGAATACAGAGGTAGGTGAGAATGTCAGGGAGATTTCTTAAACAGGTGATGCCTGAACTAAGTTCTTAAAGTGAGAAATTTGCTAAACAAGGAGGAGATGAAAATGGAAGAAAACAAAGGGATTCCATATGGAGAACAATGCATGAGAAGACACCATACCATGCTGTAAACTGATAAACCAGAATTAAAAGCACACCACAGTATAGCAGTCTTAAACAAAGGAACACAATCACAACTCAATACAACTATGTATTGAATCTAAAGGAAACTTGACATGCTTCTACTTAAGGAACCAGAATATGTTAAGCATGCCTAGTCTGAAAATCTGAAATCAGTAATGCTCCAAAATCCAAAACTTTTTAAGTACCAACATGACACCACAAGTGGGAAATTCCGTACCTGACCTCATGTGACAAGTTGCAGTCAAAACTTTGTTTCATAGACAAGACTATTAAAAATATTGTATAAAATTACCTTCAGGCTATTTGCATATGAAACCTAAATGAATCTTGTGTTTAGACGTGGGTCCCATCCCCATAATACCTCATTATATATATGCAAATATTCCAAAATCCAAAAAATTCCAAAATCCAAACACTTTTGTTCCCAAGCATTTCAGATAAGGAATA